TTTTTTCTCGGTAAACCAAAAATCGCCATTTTTGATTTTTCTTCTTTGGAACGGAAAAAATAAAGAAATAATAACGGTTTGGTTCGGTTCCGCGGTTCACTGAAAAATAGCAATATTGTTTTTTCTTTTGTTTCCGGTTCCACGTGATACATTGGCATACACCTTTCCTGGTGCCGTCAGAAAAATTAATTGATCGACAAAAGTTCAAATAAAAAAAACATCCAACTTCCTTTTTATTTTATTTTTTTTTTTTTGCACGTATTTTTAGTTTAAGCTTCAGGAGCACCCAAAGTCAGGAACTTTGGGTCACGAAGACACTTCAATAAATATATTCCGTTTTATTTTTTTTTCATGACTGTTGCGAGTATGTGGCCTGGACAAAAACAAAGTACACAGGGGCACGTGACGTCACCTACGCACGTAGACCGTCAGAAAGGGACCAATTAAGTAGCTCCCATGTCGAGTAGCGCAGGAAATACTACTTGGTTCTATTTAAAAAAAAAATCATCGATGAATAAGGCTGATGTTTAATTGCAAGTGGAATTGACCAGCATCTTTTCAAGAACAAACTTTAACAGTCAGGCCATGCCAGTTTCAGTGATCGAAGTGCGGCGCCATTTGCGCCAAATAGCGCAGTGAACGAACGTCTGCTACATCTTGCGCCAAAATTCCATTTTTCCTAAAAGTTGCGCTACACCTGTTCCAAGATGGACTTAAAACAACACAAAAACAAAACAAACATGTTTTATTATTGGTCGACTCGAATATTCAGAGGAGTAGAAGGAAAGAAAATTGTACAAATATGAATTTCACGGCGTCTCTACTCACCGTATAGTTTGTTTCGTCTTAGGTCAGAATACATTCGAAGGCTCGGAGATATACAACCACAAGCACACATGCTAAAAGCGCATGTCACAGGACATTCGCTTCACTCAGATCGTTCAGCCGATGGAAGAACTCGTACAAGGAGATGACGAATGCCATGATATCGCGCTTTGATGCTGCGAATCAACCGGCCGGAGCCGTTGATGCCGGGCATCAAACGCTCTGGCCGGCGCTGTATGGTTGATCGCTGACCTTGTCTACGTTTCCAGGCGATGTCGTCGACGTCAGGAACTAAGGGTCCCGACAAAACTTTGCGAAATAGTAGGATTGCCGATTGTGGCTACTGTGATAAAACAAAACCAGGGTATTGTACTCCTGGTGGGATAACTCGATCGTCGTGTCTGTCACATGCCTACGTTTCGTGACTGCAAAGTAGCGTGGCACTTGCGCCGCTCGTGTCCACCTTCGCCTGCCCTCACCAGCGTGCGCGTGTCGAGCTTCACCGCTTTGCACCGGAGTGCTAGGAGCAGCGGCTGACATAGGGCAGCGCTTGGGTTAGTGCGATAGGCAAATTAATCTCTAACTAAATTAAAAAAAAAAAAAGAACAGTAGAGAAAGAGGGAGAAGAAAACAAGTGTCTATATATAATTAAGACAAACCCCGATACTGGGAGTAGACGAAGGAGGACACAACACACAGAGTCTCAAATACAGCTGTATTTTATTTCACAAACGTTCGTGTTTATATATATGTGAATGAATACGGTAGTTGCCGTGCAACTGTCGATCGATAGGGCAGCGAGCTTTGACGTAAGTCTGGTTCCTGAGCCGTTAAAGAGCAGTGTCTCCTTTAAAGCACAAGTGTAGGCTCTTATGATATTTTTGGGTGGTTGCATTTGCTGTTTATGGCATTAGAGTTTTTACTTTTTTAGCTTCATTGAACGAGCGGGACGCATATTTATTGTTAGACATATTAGCGGATATGCTGGTTTTCGCTGGCCTTCTACAGAAATTACATTTACGGGCTAAACAAACTACCGAGTGTAAAATGGAGACGGGAGAGAGGATTTATCCCAATGAAGTGTTGCGCTGTGATTCACTTTTGAACCATTTTTTTAATACCCGTTGTAAATGAAACCTACTCTTACTTGAGCCTTCTTTAAGGATACTGTGTTCGCTTTATGCCCTATCTATTCCTATAGCAAACGGTAATAAGTATTATGCTCGAGTATCAAAGAGGAACCCTTGACCACTATATCAATAAACTCCTTGAGATGCAAGCAGTTTTTCATTTTCAAGTGGTCTGTTAACAGATGTCGGCATCTGCTACAGAAACATTAGTGGCTACTACAAACCAATATTTTGCACAGAACCTACTGCAAAAGGTCAAGTGCCGCTTCCATCACTGCAGTTTATTCTGTGCAAAGGCTCATTCACACTGCCCCATTTTCTTCCATTAAGTTAAGTTACGTATAAGTCACCGAAACTTTAGTGTCTCGAATGTCGCGTGCACAGAGGTCCCGGTTACTTCAGCGTAATATTCCGTAACGTAACTTAACGTAAGAAATGGGGCAGTGGGAACCACCCTTTAGAAAAGGTTCGCTTGGGTACGCGTTATTTTAGGCCAGATTAGATCTGAGTACGAAGACTCATATAGATTAGAGTGAACAATTTCGATTTCTCCTTTCTGCATGAATCTTCGCCTGCATCACGGTGCTGAGTATTACCAATGATGGTTAGGAAAGCACGAGTTGATTGTCGCTCAGTGTCTTTTCAAAATGCAGACTGAAAGGGCTTGTCCTAAAACTTTCTCGGCACTTTTAAAGTATTATTGCTTTTAGCTCAGTTGCGTCGTCATTATATTGTGAAACATGTTTCGTAAGCTATATTTCATGGTACATGGCGAGGAAGTTCCCATTCCATGATTTTATACACCCTAATTAAATCTTTAGTTCAAAAGCACAAATACGATTCAAGTTTTAATACTGCGATGCAAGGTTGAACCAATCGCGGGTATTTTAGCGACCTACCACACATTGTGACAACAATTCGATTCGGGTAAAATATATGTGACTGAGATAAACAAATATATGTTGAGTCGTATAAACACGACGTTTTGTATGTTAATTTAGATTTTATTATACTGATTCGCCAATATTGAAAAAAATATATAAATCTTTTTTTTTAAATAAAGATGTATATTTTAAAATAAAAAAAAAAATCAGCGGAAATAGAGCCTATTGCCAAAACAAAGCGGAAAATATATTCTCAATATATTTCTGCTTTCCGGCACTGAACCGGAACTGTACCGAAAGCAGTGAACCCGAACCTCAACTGAACTGATAAGAGTTTCGGTTCGACCAAGGAGATTAGAAGGGTAGGAGGGGGCATGACGTCAGCCGTGTAGCCTCCACAAGCCAAGCAAATACTAGCCAAGCTCCCTTGACGCCTCGCCTCTTTCTCATTTTCGTGAGGGTAAAAGCGCTAAAAACAACGGACGAGTAAAAGAAACGAACAACACAGAGCGCTACTTGCAACTGAAGTTTATTCTCAGAAAACACACATATATATACACCGTAAAATCGCGACATGTACTACAGAAATGCGACATCACCCAATCAGTGTTCGTCTGTCCACTATCTACGTACTTTACGAAAGATTTTAAAAACGCCACCTCAGAGCCAAACAGGGCTATAGATGGAGCGCTGACACACGTTCCTTCAACGCACTCAGATATGAAAAAAGCTTCGGATACCTCCCTTGTCATTTTGTTTCGGTTTCGGGCCAAGATAATGGTGTTGTCAAACTTCGGGACACACCCACATCTGTCATAGTGCACAGCCAGATTTCCCGAGGGCGACGATCGAACTGACAGTGCATGCTCCCTGAGCCTATCGGGTGGTCCATATCACATGAGCGAATGACATTTTAGCGAACAGCGACGTTTGAGCGAATTAACGTTTTAGCGAATAACGGGGGCGCGCGTTAACCCACCCGCCGCGCTGCGCTTTACGCCGCTTCGCGGCGACAGTCTGCGGCAACTCATTACAAAAATGTGAACCCATTTGGCCCACCCGAAAACGCCGCTTCGCGGCGTCCGACTATTCGCTAAAGTGTCATTCGGTAAAACGTGGGCGTTCGCTAAAATGTCATTCGATCAAGTGAGTGCCTCCCGAGCCTATCATTTATACAACGTCCCGATTGGCCTATGTATACTTTGCCACATGATAAATGAATCTTGTAAACCACGCCCTCGCTACACTCCACATACCTGGTCTTATGTTTTTTCTGACGGACATCGACGCGTGTCTCCCCTCGCCCCACTTTTCCACACAATCTGGCCCGTTTCTGAGGAGCTGAGAGTAATACGGGAACCCCATGTTTTTGCCCCACTCTCTTTATATTGTACGGCTCACCTTATGAACTTAAGGTATTACAACTGGCCTACGCCTTGGCTTCTCTCCTAAAACACCATATCCTCCCCGAAGTTTCTTTATCAGACCCTCTGCCACCCCCACAAGAAGCGTAGGTGGAAAGCCTCCTTCCTCTAGCTTCAATACCTGCAACCTAAAGCTGTCTTCTATCTTATGTGGGCAAGACTTCGTTAAGCCAGCCCTCAGGCATGCAGAGGCAATGCCCCTCTGAATTACTTTTGAGTGATTAGAATCAAATGGTAAATATTGGTAAAGGCTAGTCATAAAAAGTTTAAACGATATTGTGCCCAACGTGACCGCAGATCTCTCTGGTGATTGATGCGCGTGACATGTCCCGTGCGAAATGGAAATGAGAAAGAGGCGAGGCGTCAAGCGAGCATGGCTTGTGGAGGCTACGCGCCTGACGTCATGCCCTCTCCTACCCTTCTATCCTCCTTGGATGCATAGGCCATCCTAGGGCATAAATTATTAGGGTATTATTAAAACTTTTAAACTCGTTTTTTTTTTCTTTCTGTGGAAATTTTTATTTGATAATGAAGCAAATTGATGTTGGGACCGCCAGTGAGAACAATAGAAGCCTCGCAGTACAAACATCTTTTTTCTGCGAACATAATCTTTTATAATAAGAACTAAATATTATATATTCTTACTTAAATGATTACAATATTTTAAATGTTAATCTAGCTTTTAAGAGCGACCAGCTACCAAACGCCAACCCGACCCAAACGCTGCGAACCTATTGTCTCAACATGGCGACGTCCATGTGCGCTCACATTGCTTCGGCTCAGAGGTATTAAACACGGTTATAAATATGCCTCCCTTTTATATATTTAAATATTTCTGCAGCATAGAGCTTGTTTCGCTCGATTACACATCGAGGCTCTGAGTATCCGCGTTCATAATTGTCTAATACAGTTGGCTCGCGACATGTTGTTTCAGGGCGATGCTGGGCGTTCTGCGGTGCACGCTGCGTGCCAGGTGCGCCTACAAGGCGCTGCCGAGGCACTGCTCGTCGTCTTCCAAGACTCCCGATGAGCCCGACCAGACAGTCAAGGAACCTGATCAAGCTAAAAAAGCGGCCATGGATAAGCTGTCCGCTTTACTTACTGACATGAAGGTGGGCATTGGCTCGACATCTCCCCGCTGTTCGTGTTGTTTTGCCGGTGTGGCATCAAAAAAGAAAATTATCCGCCAGGAAAACATGGTTCGTTTTCGAACGTAGCACATATAAAACTTCAAGAAATAGTAATGTTCACAGAGCCACTGTACTGTAGAAAGGCAGCAACCCGTGCCATGGCGGTCCGCGTTGCCGCTCTGTTATTCGCCTCGATATTCGATCGACACGGCTCATATGGTGAAAAGCAGAACTATGCTTTGTTTTACTTTTACTTGGAGCAAAACGAATGCTACGCACGCAAGGCCGAAGCCATGGGAGGCGACAATGCAGCGCTCACCTACTGGAGTCAATTGCTAGGAGCTCGTGCTCAGCACCCTTGCCCGTGCTCTGTGCCGTTAGTGTGGGTGCCTTGTCTCCACCCGCATTGTGGACAGATGGAATCAACACGTGCCTCATAGAGAACCATGGATGAACAAAAGCACACTTCCACACAATTCAATCTGGGTCTCGAGGCCAATACTCTGACATTGTGCGCAGCGAACGCAGCGTAGCACAGAACGCACGCTTTTCATTGGCCGGCGAGCAGGAACTCAATATCTGAGACCAATCACCATCTGTATGCTCTGCGCAATGCCGCGTCTGCTAGTTGTACGTCTGAGGATAACAGCCTTTAGAGAGCCTTCATACCTTACCGCGTCTATACTCCGTTCACCCTATAAACTGAGACCAGAGTGGGAGCTATGTGCCCGCCGAACCAATCAGCCGCCCCCTTCAATTACTTGACCCGGCTCCCTGGATGTGGTTATGGGCGATAGCGTGTTGACATGACAAAAGAGAGGCGTATGACTGGGCCAATGAGGGTGTAGCTTCCACCAGTCTCAGCATAGGGGTGAACGGAATACAGTGATGGTGATTATGTGATGTAAGCAGGTTACAACACACAATCTGTTGGCGTAGGCTACTGCAGTCACAAGCACTGTTACATGAATAGGTCATATAGGAAAAGGGCGAGCCAGCTGCGTCGCGGCGGTTGCCTATTGTTTGCCGCCACCTAGCGGTGGCCGGCGCAGAATCACCGGGAAGCCATGGCAATGAACAGCACAGCGGACAGTGTCACCATTGTGATTACGACAGGGTTTAAGGCGGTTACAAATCTGGAAAGCTTCTGTGGTGCCAATATGACAAAGGAAAAACTCCGTCACGAATCTGGCCATGTGTACGAAGTGAAGGAGGTCCGTTTTGACGGACAAGTGGATGTCACAGTGCACTGTACTCCGCAGACGAAATTGAGTGCACCCACAAAATATGTTGAGCTTCGCGTAAGTACATAAGAGAGTTTTCTTAGTTGGGATTGAGTGGACTGCACTAATAATGTAGGTTTATTGCTTTCTGAATCAGCTTGACAACAACCAGGCGATTGTTTTCGTGCCATTCCGCAATTTCCAGCACTACTTTCTTTCTGTAGGCTGACAAACTCATCCAAGAGTGGGTTGCAGCTTCGGTGGGCAATCTCGTTCCACTTCTCGTTCCCGGTGAAGTGTTGTCTGCACATTTTGGAGTTAGTTCTAGGTGTTCATGTTGTTCCATTGTTGCTAGAACAAGCTAATTATATTATTTTTCAGCAGCTTAAAGAAAAGCGCAAACTGCAAGGTGAAGCGCCACTTACTTGCATCGACGCACAAGTCCTACCCAGGTCGTGTGGCGCTCTGCCATGTACGGCTTCGAAAGGAAGCCATAAAACTTTGTGCCATGCTCATCTTTGTACACATCGCGACACTGTTAGCGCGAACATGACATCGGCACATTTTCGCAATTTACTTCTAAATAGTATTAGCGAGCATGAAATGTTATCGCTTACATTATAGAACTAAATGAGCTCTTTCCGTAGCAATAATAACTTGGATGACATCTCCTGGTTTCAAAAAGAAAAATTGGAAAAACCGGCAATCGCTTGTTTGCGCTAGCAGTGTCACGCTCTGTACATACTGTTGCAGCCGCCTATGCAGCAATTGTTGTGGCTTTTTTGGTGCGGCATAGCCATCTCAGAAACTACAGCGCTTACCCGCTACTGCAGCTACAACGCAGAGCCAACGCAGAAGCTGACCCGTTTGCCGCTAGGGTGCCCTCGTCGGAGCTTGAGCTACATCCGCCCTGCTCCTATGCAAGAACATTTCAGAGGTTAAAAAGAATGTATGATAAATAAATGATTTTGCATAGACAGCCATTGCAGCGAACATGGTTTGTAATGAATACAATAAATGAAGTTGGCATTATCACAATCTAAACCCTGAGAAAAGGAGAAATAAAATTGTGGACGACACAAAATCTCAAACACAGCGGAGGTTATTTGGAAGGGAACAGCAATTTATAGCCGTTCGCAGAGACAAGAGGAAAGACAAAAAGACATGCCACTGCAAAGTTGGCGAAACTGAGCCTTGAAGTTGGCATTGCTGAGCCGATTTCTGGGAATTATTGTTTCGAACTCTTCATCTCAGAACCTTTCGTTTATAAAATCTGTGTAAACAAGACAGTTATTTTAGGGCATCTCTGTGATTGCCTGAGAGCTTGTTGCCACATTGCTTGTAGGATGCATGTCTGCTTAACCCCTTGACTACTAATAGCAAGTGTCAGTTGTGCCACCCTTTACGGACCATGACGCCCAATCACGAGTGTGACTCGTGTTTCGGTTTCGGTGCTTGTTAAGCGCGCTCTCCAACAGATGGCAGCACCACCCATTGTTCTTTGCTTTTTTGTGTTGCTGTTCAACAGAGAAAAAGCGCTCCATACAGCCAAGAAAAAAAAAAGTGCGCTGGGTAAGCATTTGCGCCAAAACAGCATGGCTTCGGCGCGGAGTTCCACCCGACGAAGAGATCCAAAAACTTCTTTTTGGAAGTGATGAATGCTTAGGCATATCTGACGACGAAGAACCCGACACGGGCATGCATTGTATGCGGAGCCAACAAGAAATAGAGTGAAACAACATCAGAATGTGGACAGTGCAAGGTTGCTCTCCACCTTCCTGAATATTTTCAATGCTCTCACGCTGTGAAGAACTACTGAAGAGGACCAGAAGTACTAATTTCAAGCAAGATGCCACACCTGGAAATCAAGCTTATTTTAATGCAAATTGCTTGTTTAAAATAAAGTTTTGCTGTATATTCCTTCAAGAAAATAATGAGTAGGCAAGGGGTTAAAGGGCAACTACTGGTATTGCTTTAGTGACACGAAATATGACCACAGCCGAGATCTTACATCAAAGTGAAGCCGGATACTCCACTAAAACCGATTTTAAAGATGCAACCAGCTGCTCTTTAGCAGGCAGCAAGCAGGTCAGCTTTTAGCCAAGGAACACTGGCGCAGCGCTTTTGTGACATCACTTCGCGGTGGAGCTGCGGCTGATTGGTTGTACCGCTGCAGCAAGGTGACGTCGCAAAAAAAAAATTCTACTTTGTAATTTAGGGACATTGCTTTAGCTGAAAACAATCGTAATCCCAAATTAAAAAAAAACATAAATTAGTGCACGGTGAAAGCGGCAAGTTCAATAGTGTATAATTAACACCATAGAAGTTTGCCATGACCTCATGTGCAGCGACAGTCTCATAAAGCTTGTGCTCAGGTGGGAACACAGCTACAGATACCCAGATCCCTAAAGGGCAACCCCGGCCAATATTTTTTAATTCGGGATTACGACTGTTTTCAGCTAAAACAGTGTCCTTAAACTAAAATTTTTTTTTTTCCAATATTGTAGTTTTATTAATATTGCGGCTCAAAGTTTGGTTTCGGGCGTCTACGGCAAAACCTAAACTATCTGCTAGAGGCATGGCAACACTGATCATCAGCCATATGACCGCAACGTGACGTCACAAGGGTGTTATGGTATGCGGTACAACCAATGAACCGCACCTCCACTGCGACATGACATCACAAGGGTGCTGCACCCGCAACCCACTTGCCGCCCGCTAAAAAGCAGCTGGTCGCATCTTTAAAATCGGTTTTAGTGGAGTATGCGGCTTCACTATGACATAATATTTCGGCTGTGGTCGAGGTTGAGAGAGCACGCTTACAGTGTCTCCACAACCGTGTCTGGTCACCTGGGCATTCTTTGCCGCGACTGTGGTTGCCTTCCCGACTTCCAACGGTGTGAGGTTGTTAAGCGTCATAGAGACCAGCTTACTCGGGAAATTCTAGAGGCTGTTGAGATAGCGAGGCTGGGTGCAGCATGTGTAAGCAGTCCTTCTGTGGCCCTATCAGGCAAAGAGATGAATTTTCTAGTTCCGTGACTGCTCGATTTTTGGCACATACTCTGTACGGCTGTGTCATGGCGCATTTCATTATTATTATTTTTTCACAGCGCTACGTCCGTGTCACTTCTTTGTCTGGTCCTCGTCTTTCCGCGCTGTTTTTAATTTCCGAAGTATGCACCAACTCGCCCAAGCCTCAACTTTAGCTGTGGTCATATTTGTGCCACTAAAACGATACCAGTCTTTCATTTTGGTTTCATTTTCAACTGGAGTTGCCCTTTAAAGACTGTCTCAACCTCGGGTTATTTGGTGAAAAACCGGCTCTTGTAAACGCAAGGTTGTAGGAAGTTTATTGGTATGCTATGCATGTTTGCTGACACATTGCTTCAATGGTCACTTGCGACAAAGGATTAAGCTGAAACGTTACAACTCCATGGTGCCTTCGTAACCTGTGTCATCTTTGTGCGACTTACTTTACCACTGACTTTCACCCTCTACTTTCATAGATTGAATCGGTGTCAAGCTCGGACCCCTCAAGTATTTCCTTCAAATTGGCCAAGCCAGGACGGCCAAAGAAGCCTGAATTGAGAGAAGCTGCCGCAAAGTGAGTTTCTGGGACGTTTACCAGCATTTTTTTTCCACGAATGCCGTGTCAAGCAAGCAAATCTTCTACGGTACAGCAGGTTTTTCAGAACACAGGCGAAAAAGGTGGAGTGACTTTAATAAATAACTATAATTTGTCCGTATAATTTTTCTTACATTGGAAAAACATTGACCATATTATTGCATAAAAGTATTTGTGGGGTCCAGGCACGTAGCCAGGATTCTGTTTCAAGGGGAGGGGAAAGGGGGGGGGGGGGCGGGCCGCTCATGACGAAATGCTGTATGAGGGGGAGGGGAGGCCCCAGCAAAATGGAAGATTTCAAGTGGGGGGGGGGGGGGGGCCCCCCCCCTGGCTACGTGCCTGGCGGGGTCACACAGAGTTTGAAGTTTCATTCAGTCTATGCCTTCAGTGTTGATGAGTTCCGGAGGTCAAGATTTGTGAGCTTTTGTTTCTCACCCATAGATTTATGTCCTTTTGTTTTCAGAAACTGTCACTGGTAAGGCAGGGTTCTACGGGTTGTAATCCTGGTTTCGTGAAAAGTCTAGCTCTCCCTAGCATACTGCCAAATTCGGAGAAACCAAATCCGGGAGAATTCCTAAGCTGGGGGAGGGGATGGCGGTTTTTTAAAATGAAATAGTATTGATTACAAATTCACATGAAGACAACTTCATTACACTTACATTGCCCTGCTCATGCTACCGAGATACAGCCGGGCCTCGCTATCATTGCAGCCTTTTGTTGCGACAGCAAAAACTGCTTGTTTAAGCGGGGAGGAGGATACGCGTTTTCTGGGAGATTTTTTTGTCAATCAAACAACCGTACGAATTAGTCAAAATTGTGGAGTCTCCCAAGTCATGCAGGAGACTTGGCAGGTATGCCATAATGATCCCAGCTGGTAGCTTGGGAGGCCAGAATCCGGGAACAGAAGCTGCAGTCATTTCTTTAACGCTTCATCTTACACCCTGGCATCAATTACACTCCCCATCGAGCTCATAGGTAGGACCCCTTGTTTTCGGTAAATACCGATAAACCTCTATAAATAACCCACAAAGTGGTTTTCTCAGAATCGGGGGGAAAACTGAAAAACCCCAAACTGGAGCTATCTCCAATAGGAAACTCCATGGGCTTGGGGGTAGAAAATGTTTTCTGCGGCTTTTTGTTTTTAGCCTGAACACAACCCATACTAACTGTTCGTAAGGTTGCTTCTTTCTTTGAACCACATCCCTTGCACCATCTCCTTTTGTTCTCGGTATTAGGATGACGTTGCTTAAGGATATTTGGGTCACAGGGGTAAGTTCCGTGGACCTTGGAAAAAAAGAGGACACGTGGGGTTGGGGGGGGATCATTTGGGGTCACAAGTTTATAAATATGCAGTTGTTTTATAACATAAGCCCCAATAAACACTGATTTCTTGCCTGGCACTGAAAATGAGCACAGAAAAACGCTGTTTCCAAAAAAAATAATACACTTGAAAACACAGAACCCGACTCATAGGTAGGATTCCGTATTTTCGGAGTTTATCTTGATAAAATCCGGAGGGTACTTTTTAAACTTCATTTCGTGTGCAGCATTCGGAGTCTTTCCGAGTTTATTTTTGTTAGTCTTCCAATTTTAGGAAATTCGGAGTTTAATATAGCTGTGTTCCCAATTGTTCAGGATTTAAAACAAAAAGAAAAATATTCGGACATACAAAAGCGCACCAAATTTATAAAAACTCACTTGTATCAAATAATATTTCTCCAGCTGGATTCGGCGTTGGCACCCTCGCCATTGGTATGACGCTGTCCTAAATTAAACTTACTATACTTCAAAAAAATTGTTGCTTCAATAGATGTTGATAATTTAAAATCAAGAAACTCCTTGACAGTCGCTTGGAAAGTAATTTCCTTCCCATTCCATTCCACCACTCCAACTGCTGCGTGGAGTGGAGTGCTGAAGTGATTTCAGCTGCCCCCTACCTCTCCAATGAAATGTATGAGTTTATAGCTTTCTGTCTTATAAAACAGAACCTCTTGTTAAATAATTATTGCAAAAAGAAGAAGATGTAACGAGAAAATATATAGACGACGAGGAGAACGGAGGAATCGATGGTGACTCCGGCAGCAACTGGAACGAACATGTAAATATTGTACATAAACCCTTCCTTCTTAACGAACTCGCTACATTTAATCCTCTTAACGAAGAAACGTAACACCTCTCCGCCCTCTAGGAAGCCAAAATTGTAGGGTGCAAACGTGAAACTGGAACAGTGACTTTTGTCATGGCGCAGAAGGACAATGACCCATCCTGAACAAACCTCTGAGGAGATAAACGGTGTACACCATTTTGTCAACGATTTGAGATTTGAAAGGAAACTGGAGTGGCCTCTACGCAAGATCACTGACTAACCCTGTACCAAACCTATTTGTAGATTAGACTTTTCCCTTTCGTTTCTTTGAAACAAAGTGACCTCGAAATTCAGAGTTTATATAATAAATCCGAATTCACGAAAATTTGACCGGCAGGTATTTTTCTGAGTTTTTCGTTTGTACGAAAACACGGAACCCTGCTCATAAGTAATGCTCGACATCTACTTCTGGCGGATTGTATACAAATACTTGTCAAGCCTTGCAGAACCATCCCCGCACGACACTTCACGTTAAAGTCTCCAGGACCGTTGTGCTGGAGAATGCGGGTATTTTTCCTGACGGTTAAACCAGCTGCAAGAGGGATTTTGAGATCATGTGACGAGCTCCATGGGGACAAGAAATCACAGGCACCTAGCATCCCAGGAAAATGGCTGCCATAAGTCCGTTCTTGCCTTAATTATTCGAGTCCGATTTTGTGTGCCAAAGGAACGTGAACAGGCTTCAAATGTAAGTGAAATGAATCGCATTTGTATACTTTATAAGTGGCATGAAAATTTATTTCTGGGAAGGTCACGTTAATCGAGATATAAAGAAAATGACAGGCAAGGCTTACATCTGTTGAGCAGGAATGGCTGAAAGGCCAGGTACTTTTTTCACCAGCAAACCGGCCCAGGCGTGTCATACTACGCTACAGCAAAGACATAAGCAGTCAATCGTCCTTATCTCGGCCCACTGGCCGCCTTTTAGTCAAACATTTCCGACTCAACACATTTGACCTTTAATGGACACCAAGTCCAAACAGCCCTAGGCTGTCTTGTCTGAGCTGTGTGATCTCTTATGCCGTCTTAGATGCCTCTTGACGAGCAACGTGTGCTGTCCAGGACCAAAGGGCTCGAGCAGCAGATGGTGGAGGCGGTCAAGGAGGTGGCTGCCAGTCTGGGTGGAGACCAGGAGCAGACAGAGTCCGAACTCCTCTCCAAGCTAAGGCTACACAAGGAGGAAAAGGATGCAGGAGGGGACCTCGCCGACGACAAGAGCAAGGCACACCTGGGGTGAGATCTCCCGTTTTCTTTTAACATTGGAGGCTCGGGAAAGAAACCTCTTGCGTCGGTTGCGTGCACACTTTTACTCGGGTCACTTGAAGGCAGGGTCATTGTTCGGCTGATATTTGAGGCTAGTTGATGACTAAATTAAAAAGTGTGTGTTTAACTGTTAGTCAGGTGTACATAATGGGAGCTTGCAAGCACGCCAATCCATATGAAATTGCATTTCATATCCAATTCGCAACATATTCTTACAGCAATGCAAACAATGCAGACTGCACATTGGAATGAACAAAGCAGTAGTGTGTGCTGCTAGTATATCTTAAGCCAAGCCACAAAATTCGTGTGCCATTGCCTTGTGTGGCATATCAATTAGTCACTTGAGGGGGGTGTTCACTACATGTTGCCGATGCCGTATCTTTAAATCGTTCAAAGCGAGGCTTTTTTTTGTTGTTTCAACAAAATTGCATTCATTTATGATGAACATGACGCCATAGTCTTCCCTCGTCTTTGCATAATTCCTTGTGGTGCAACAATTATTCCTCGTTTAAAGTATTTCTTGGCATATTTCTTAAACATACATAATATACTATGTTGTGTAAATATGGTTCCCAAAATGCACTTTTGTTTTTATTGTTCCCTTTTTTGTTTTGCTCGATGCTGTTTTTCCTTGTGTTGACAAATGCGGTTGGGTTGATTGTACTGTTTCTTAAAGCCCGGTTCCATGAGACCTTTTATGAGAAGGAGTAGCATCTGTCAATTAAGTATAAAAATAAAATTGGTCAGGTTTAAACACCTAATGTCACAGTATAGCTTTGTTTTTCTTCGGACGACACGAGGAGTGGCATGCATACCTACCAAGACTGTTCCTCTGTCGGTGGCACCACACCTGAAGTTCATACAAGAACAAAGCATAGACAGACCTCAGACCTTTAGTGCTGGTAGGCCTATCGCCAGCTAAGCCTGCTTACAGTCAGACAGTTGCTATAGCAGTCAAGGTCCGCACAACACGTCGAAGCGGAACACACTCGTAATGTAGTCGAGCACACTCAAATGCACATGTCTGAACCGACCTTTAGTGTCACGCAGAAGAGCATCCTACTTCTCGCAGACAGAAGGCAGAACTCCGTCTTCCTCCCTGTCCAATATTCCGTTCCATTTTCGTAGCAGCCCCATTGTTGCAGCCTTTATCTCAAGGTTGTAACGTTAACTCTATGGTCTTGCCCTTCCAGCGACCTCTTTGTGGGCATGAAGGTGGACCGGCGGAGCGGACGAAAGAGCGGCCAGCGTCCTACTGGCATGACCCGGCGCGGTGTCGCCGAGGACGGAGCCGCATTCGGGACTCCGGTCTTGCCGGGAACCATCGACGCCCTCGCTCAGGCCGTCGGCAGGGACGAGAGGGGGTCGCGCAAGAGGGTCATCCCCACTGAGGGGTCAGTGCAAGCCCTTGCCCTTTTTGAAGTTCCCCTTTCTGGCCAGCAGGCATTTCGTATTTTCCCACGCAGAGACTGCTTGCAAAAGAAGTTGCCCCGTTGCACTCGGGATGACCATTGCGTCTTCTCGGCCGCGGCTATAATTGGCGTCGACTATTTACTGCTACCTACATTGTCGAGGCCAGTGTAGCTTCCATGCTGCTGCACCCCCGCGCTGCTGCAAGAGCACTTGGCTTCGTCTTGCGTCCCTTTCGCACACGCTTTTGCAACTAGCTTCGACGGAGTTGGAGCGCCGCGAAGGCTCCGCTAGCCTCGACAACGTGGCATAAATAGTCGATGCCTAGTATAGTCGTTGCAGGTGTCCTGCTTTTATAACGCTAGGAACTGTTTGTGTTGAAAGGTCAAAGCTAGAGTTGCGTGCAGCTTTGTGGCACTTGGAACAAACGTTGCAATTGCTCTACTACACTCCCTGCTTACCGTAACATCCCAAGTCGTCGTCCACCCCCTGTGGCCTGAAATTCCTTAAAAATGTGGGGTGGGCCATGTCTCGGTGGGCAAGTGCAAAAAGTTTTGAAAAAGCTAAAAGCCCATTTTTCTGTACATATATAGTGTGGCTATACGAGAGATACATTAAACTTAAAACTCAAATTAGTTTCATTGTTTTGTGCAAGAAATGCTCACGGAAGAAGGTTTTACTATCGCAAAGTCCGTTCCGTGCATATGCGCGATGAACACCGCCGATCGGCACACAGCACAAACGTTTGTTCTGTGAACATTTCTAACACCGCTATGTTGCCTTCGTTAGTTAAGAAAATAAAAAAGAGAGTCAACAAGAAAATGGAAAAAACAACCAGGCACAGCGAGCGGGCAGGCGCAAGAAGCGAAGAAGAGCGATGCTGGAAAGCCGGAGAGCGTGTTGGCAAATACTTTGGCGTCGGGCCAAGTTGGGCTCGTTATCAATCACAGGGAAGGCTTTTGTGGAACTTTGTCTGGTGCATACACGCATTCATCTGTGCACGGCGTACTATCAACGCGGGTCGAGGCGCCGTTGCTGCGTGGCGTGGACGGCACAATGAACACTGAGCTCGAAATGGGACCTCTACAAATGTCTGTTTGTGGTGTTCCAGCAACTCTTTACTTACTCGTTGACTTTGTCTTAAACACTGCAGAACCTTATCAACCACGGTCGCGACAATCCGGGAGAAGGAGCGGGTTCGTGCTGACCTTATTTCGGTGGAAACGGACTTTGTCCTTACATCTTTGAGTTTACACTCTGCAGTTACATTCCAGCCTCCAGAATATGGGGCGTTCGCTGACCTCGCGATCCCTGAACTGCAACCACATTATTCGGGTAGGATGACTGTTTGCAGATCGTAGAGTTTGTGTTGGGGTATTTGTAGGGGTGGGCGATCATTCTGCGGTTTCTTGGAAATCGATATTCACCCAAAAAGGGGGGTGGGCGATGGCTCGAGATACTGCGGTAGTAACATCAAAGGCTGTTCAGAAGTTTTTAAAATTTCAAAGCCACAGCCGCTAGAACAAGGGTGGCCAAAACTGGGGCTCACAGGCTGCACATTACATTCTGACGTGAAGACCTTTCATTAATTGCAGCCGACAGGAAGCAGTAATATTTATCTCCCCTCTTGCCTAGTGGGAGCGCTAGGCCGAAGACAAGAGGTGCAGTTTGTTGCTCTAAGCATGGCTGGGCTGTTGAGGAAACGAAAGGGAGGATAATTACTTGTGCTCATACTTCAACATTTTTTGTGTCGATTTGAGGCCTGGAATATTTTTATAAAATATCTCGTTGCTTGTGCAACTCTGCTTTTTAACTTCCATTCTTCACCTCCAAAAAAAAAATCACACCTCTGTCCCTGGACCAAATTTCAACATTGAATATTCTAATTTCGAACGTTTTTTTTAAATTCACCTTGCCTATTTGTGCACTCGCTTATTTCTCTTTGTAGTGCTGATAGAAACGTGTCTGCTTATGTCTTTAAACCTTTTCACACTTCATCTAAGATTGGTGTGCGTATCTATCCTAAATGAATAAACAATTTTTCTTTTCTCGCATTTAGTTCCGAGGAAAAGATGGACCTTGGCTCTGGCGTGCGGCTCAACATCTTCTCCAACGAACGTCAGGAAAAAGGTTTGCGGGACTTTTCCTAAAAGCTGCAGTTTTATTTCTCCCTACCTTAAACACCGGTCCGAGGATTGGACAAATTAATGATATGCCACATACAAAATGCTTTTTCTAAGATGGTAAATAAATTTTAAGAAAAAGACACTGAAAATAGAAAACCGATTTCCTCAGAATAACGTTTTCCAGCGTGGCAGACATCAAGTAGAGAGTGTAAAGTGATAATTAGCAAATTAGTTACCCAATATCCGTTACTGAACTTTCTAAATATTAGCTTCAGCTGGCACATCCCAATTCGAAGTTTGTTCCGCATCATTCAATTATGCCGTAGCAGTTGCTAAAATTCCGACTAGATTATGCTCTGCCCCAGCCTCAGGCGAAGTTAGCTTGTCTAGTCTAAACCCATACCAAAGCCAACATAGAAAGAGTGCACAAAGCAGAGTATGGTGGGCCTTTCCTACGGTCATTTGACCCTTACCGGCTAATGGCGATTCAATGGCTTGCTGTGAAGGCTGTTGCTGATTTTGCGTCTTGTTTCAGTTTCTTGTCTCCTCACAGCTTAACTTTGCCAGAGAATAGTGCGGAGCAGAATTTTGTTGTTTGAATTCTCACAACTGGCACGAATTTTATAATTAAAGTGTGCCAGCTGAGGGGAATATTTAAAGTTCGTTGGCAGACTTTAGATAATTAATCTGCTAATTATCACTTTACACTCTCTACCAGACGTCCATCGCGGTGCATAACATGTTCCTAAAAATGTAATCATTGATTTTTTTTTCTTTAATTATTGCTTGCATTCCCTTGCCCTTCGGTGCAGAAGAGGGAGGGAACGCAAAGGTCTCCGTGCAGGCTTGCATGCTTTCGGCACTTAAGCCTTCGTAATGAGCGTGATCGGCAGCAGATACACTTCGAATAACCAGGTTAAAAATGTGTGCATTTTGGTCGGGGCCACGTTGAACTTCGATAAAAGCAATGATTTGAAAAAAGTGATTTCGTTATAATGAGGGATTACTGTACGTGTGTTCTGGAACATACCATTACATTGTCAGCAGGTGGTATATTTCAGCAGCACACCAGTTGCCTGGAAGGCGAGAATTGCGCCTCATTTCGGGTGAAGGTCAATTTATCTTCGTGTAAATCGTCTCCACCTTGAGGACATTGACTAAATAATTACATCCAATCACAGAGTTGGTGACAATAAAGGGAACATGGGCACTTGAAAAGCTTTGGGGGCACCCCGAAGCAGCCCTGTGCATCTAGGAACCCCTACTCTACTGTGCAAGTTCTCCAACTGGGTTTGTCAAAACGTTCCCCAAGCTCTCAAATTTCCTCGTCTGTCCCTGTCTCTAAGTGAAGTGTTTCTGCAGTTTAAGCGATACCTTAGCAGACCTGAGCCACTCACCGATCCATAACTATGCACCAAACACTCCCTAGTATTCTCATTAATGTTTGCAAGGTCCGCATTGCATTGGTGCCGAGACTGGGAGAAGTTCCCAGGTTGCCGCTTGAGGCAGATGGGGGCTCCTCGAGATCTCAAAGTTTGAGTTGGCTCCGTCGCAGATGCCCCCCGCCTGGAGACCTGGGAGAGGCTGCAGCAACGGGAGTTGCGGCTCCTGGCGACCCCTCCCCCGAGGAATGCCTATGAGGAGATGATCCTGTGGACCGAGCAGGGCAAGCTCTGGACCTTCCCCATCAACAACGAGGCCGGTGAGCTCTCTGGCGTCCAACGAGAATGGCGACCCTCGACAGTTCCATTGCCACGTTTCGAAAGGGGGCTCCATAGAGTGGTTCTGGAAAGGGAACTGGATTTCATCCACTTTTGAATGCAGCCTAGTAGTGCGGAACTCCTGCATCATCTGAGACTACGCGTTTCCAAGACGGCTGCGAGCCTCTGGTTTGCCATGCTGTCTGATAGTATGTAGTGATCCTTGAAGAGGAAAAGCATGTAAAGGTTACAGTGCATACTCGAGTTTTCCCTTCATATACAACTACAGTAGCCGACCAACTTTTCAGGATTCGAAAGAGGTCAGAAAAGTTAAAAATTGAACAGTCAGAAAGAATGGGTCTGAACAACAACCACCAGGTCACCGACGGTTTCGCGTTGATGTCCGAATAATAGAGCATGTCCGTATTTTCGTCCGAAAAATCGTTCGGCTATTGTATATGCTTTCACTTGAGCCGTGGCGGTACCATATGCAGTTGTGGATGGATAGATGGATGGTAATGGCTATACCCTTTTTAACGGGCGGCAGCTTGTGCCACCTAGCCTAACATTTCGTCATCCCGAAATGGGCTTGTTGGTTTGTAGCCGACTTATTTTTACAGCGGAGCTGTTAAGGGCTAGTTTCCCCAGGATCTGTTAAGGGCTAGTTTCCCCGCAGAGAAATGTCGACACAAAACTCTGGACAGCTACCGCCATCTATGAGCTACGGCGGCAGCCAGACAATCGGCTTGCCAGCCTTGCTCATAGATGATGACATTCCAGCCTTTCTACTGTGGCTTTCACCCGAGTGGAAAGGCTGAATTTCTCGAGGCGTCGTCCTTGAGGTCGTCCTAGACGTCGTCCCTAGGCTTCGTCCTTGAGGTCGTCCAAGAAGTCACCCTTGAGGTCGTCTGACCATAGTACAGCTTAGCTGGTCTTCCTTCTTCACCAGAGTGGAAAGGCTGACAGTTTTTAGTTCTAGCGCCGTTGTAGTACGAAGAATTGCAGGCGTCGTTATACCACATATTTTGTTACATCAAGGTTTCTGTTATTCAGGACCCAGTGAACCATTTCAAAATATACTAGTCTAGCCCCTGAAAACCAAAGCACCATGGTGGCACAGGAGCATCGCTACGCACTACCCGAGCAGGCAGTAGGGACCGCATATCCGCAAGCAATACATAAATGAAATCTTTGATTTTCAAAATTCAAAGTGCGCACGATTCTAAACGGTGCTTATGTTCTTTCTATTAGTGTTGATGGGGTACACTTGTATAGTATTGAAGATTTGTCGCAAAAACTTCTTCCTCAGATACTGATTGCCGTATAAATTTTTTGGGTTGCATCAAGTTGGGTAAACCAAGCCCATGCACAAGCCCACAAACTGAAAAACAAAAAAACTTATACGTGCTTGATCATGCTGACGAAGACTAGTAAGCACAGAATGTGTGATAGGCCTTCCAGAGAAGTGAAGGGCATCTAAAAAGTGCCGCCTACCAAAGGTTCACTCTAATTTCTGACACACGGTGTGGGATGGTGCAGCATGACAGGAAACGCGACGAAGTGCACAACCGCTCCTTTGTGTGCCGCACCAAAGACTGTTTTAGCGTGGCCTGACTACTGGCCCCGGATAGCTCGGTCGGCAAAGCTCTTGGCTCATAATCTCAAAGTGGCGAGTTCAAATTCTGCCAGGGGACCAAAGTCTTTCTGTATGGTTTCCTATGGGCATAATGTTTTTTGGTGTCAGTTTTTCGTTACAGCCGGCTGCTACAGCCGGCCTCTAGAGCTGGCCTCTACAGCCGGCTGTTACAGCCAGACGTTACAGAACTACATGAAAATTGGCTGATGAAATAAAAACAAATTGTTGCCGAAATCACTGCACAGATTCTTGTTCTGTGTTGCTGCAGGACTGCCGGGGAACATTACTAACATTGAGGCTTGACTGGCATGTTGTTCACGTAACGAACTCGTCTGTTGAATTGTCGGGGAATGCTGCTGAAAGGAGTCCCGTGAATCGGTCGTTCACGGCGCACTCGTCCGACCAGAACCCCAAGTGGTCACACATGCTGCACATGCTGCACGCCACGCCGCAGGAGAATACTTCTGGAACTACATCTTGGCCAGCAAATATTTGTATTTGCTTGTCGTTGCGCCATTTCGTTGCCGATGTTCGTCTTCCCCATTTCGAGTGGCGATCGCGTTGCAGCCAAAGTTGCCGGCCTTGGTCTGTTTCACTGGCCTTCTCGTTGCTTCTTGCCTCTCGAGCTTTACATAAACTCACCTCGCGTTGTTCCACAGTCTCCTCCACACGTCGCTGGCGCTCTTGCACCTCATTGGCATGATTGCAACATCTGAAAAAGCTCCTCTTCCGTGGAGTGTAAGCGCCACGGATCAAGCGGTCTCTTTGTAGCAGCCCACAGCAGCTTTGTTGGAGACAGACAAGACAGACATGAAAGTGCAGGGGGTTCACCAAGGAATCCTATCGAATTTAAAACGTGCCTACCTCGCACCCAAACTGGCAAGGGAAACAAACATTACGCCATCTCTGCAGATGCAGGTAATGTAGCCAAACTCTCTCTCCTGTCTTCCCAGGCCTGGAAGAGGAGGCCAAGGTGCCCTTCACGGACCACGTGTTCCTGGAGGGCCTGATCGAGGACTTTCCCCGCACCGGCCCCGTGCGCCACTTCATGGAGCTGGTGCTGGTCGGCCTGTCCAAGAACCCTTACATCTCGGTCCAGCGCAAGCGGGAGCACATTGACTGGTTCCGACAGTACTTCAGGGAGAAGCACGAGGTGCTCCGACTTGCCGGGGCCCTCCCCGGCGAGGGCCCTACACCGCCCCCTTTAACCGCCCCAGGGGATGAAGGGGGGGGCCCAGAGTACGGCGGCACACAACTGAGACGGGTGGCTTCCTTCCCACCGTGGCAATATTGAGAAAACAACTTAGCAGTTTGCACGTGGATGGATGCTTAAGGGGCACCAAACTCCCAAACATCTCTTCTTTTAGGTGCCTGGATCGCAAACACCTAAAAGTCGAAATCGCTCCCAACTAAAATTTTGTTTTGTGGCATAAATGTTGCCTTAAAAAGTTTTATTTTTGTTTGGAGAGCTTATTTTGTTTCTTAAAAAAGATGTTTGGGAGTTTAGTGTCCTTTTAGTGGGTTGATAGAAGATGAGGAAGAGAATGGCTACAGTAAAATCCCTAGCCAGCGTCCACTCAAAATTTTGAGATAATCATGTAAAACTGGGCGTTGGGCACTTCTTAGGTCAACATGTCCTTTGTGTATTTTCCAAATGTTACAAAATTGAGGGGTGGGCACTTATTGTGAGATAGGTGGATGCTTGGTACTTTACGGTAGTCTTCTGGGTTCCTCAAGATAAAATCAGCCTTTATCGTGTGTGGAAGCTTGGCAGATAAATCATGTAAAAAAGTAAGAAGCAATACACTGAAACGAACGAAAGGGAAATGGTGTATAATTTAAGGGAAAGGTACTCCAGTTCGTTTTTTTTTTTTTTAGCTGTCCATGTCAGAATCGTCAAAAAGGCAGCATTACATTGACCTGTGCCAGCACTTAGTATGTCAGCTCCGTACCACCTGTACATAGACGGTATGAGGAAAGAAATCATAATAAACGTTCAAAATTTTATCGGATGCCTGGTTAATATTTTTTTTCCACTGGACTGGCAAATATGTTTGCCACACATTTATCGGTGTTTTTCCAGGAATCCTCCCGAGTACATTTTTCCAATGGCAGGGCTTATAAAGCTATATAGATAGCTAGCATATTTGAAATTTTTTTTTAATGCGGATGCAAAAATCAATATTGGAGAGTGAACTTGCCATAAGCGAGACGCGAATGTGAGTCAAAGCCTTCGGACTGGCAGCTTTGAAACCAGCTGCAAAATGTATTGCTTTTGTGTGCTTCATGTTTGTGGCCCACAGATACGACAAATGGAGCCCGGAGAATGACGTTCACACCGAAATTCACGCCAATTTCCTGAACTTTATGGTTATACCATGGTGCATGTTGGGGAGTAAAATTTTTTAAGCTTTTAATCTATTGGGAGTTTGTATTATATATGCTGGCAAATTTTGTGTGATAATCAATTGCAAACTGCCTTCTCAAAATCGTCAGCATGGGACTGGGGCCTTCAGTACTACCCTATTTTCCGGGCTATAGTCCGCACCTAGTGTAGTCCCCAGGGGTAAATTCAGGGTCAAAAATTAAAGTTTCTCCTTAGATAATCCGCACCTGGTGCTTAGTTGACACGAAAATCTTCTCGTACACGGCACACCTCGACAAATGTCTGCTTTTTTTGGGTCGCAAAGAAGCTTGTATTATACGTACATGAATCATCAACATACTCTTCGATTTAAAAATTCCGTCCCGTCATAATGAATGATCTTGAAAAACAAAATTCCTGTATAGACCACACGCATAGATATTCAACAGTCTAAAATTTTCAACTTTTAAACATATATAGTCTGCGGACTATAGCCCAGAAAATATGGTACATAGAAAGATTGCCAGGAGCTTGAACTGAAAGTTGTAGGATTGTCATCCCGTTGCATCAGTACCATCGTGCATCCTTGGTGGTCAAACTAAGAAATCTAGTTCTACAATTATTAAAACACTTTGCTGGTAGCCCCCAGTGTGCCTTCATCACCCACTGCTTACAGGTTGCTTCTCAGCAATTTTTACGACCTTCAATCAAACATACAAACACCTTTTGCATGCTATACCTGGTGGATCATGCCTGAAACATGCAGTTGTGATGCTTGTACCTGTACATTGCTACATCACAGAAGCTGCCATGTTGACGAGCTTCCAAGAACAGCTGACAGGGCTTGTGGCCATATGCCCACGAAAGAATTCCTCGAAGCATTGAGGCTAATGAATGACCGTGGAGCCTGCAAAGAACACTTGTGTGGCCACTGGGCCCACCGCGTGCGAGCTGCCATTACACAAAGGAATTGGAGTAACTAGCCTCTAATAGATGCTGTAATAATGCCGGATATACGTGCTGGTCGGAAAACTCTACACAATCATGATGGGAGCTTCCAAGAGGAAAAGCTGGCCAGGCGTGGGGTACGGAAACGAAATTCCAGCGCTTATTTTTTAGCTTTAATGTGTTGCATGTTGCAGCATAACCTCAAGGACACCAGTCTTTCGTTCAAAGGCACCAGAAAACTCATTTTAAAGCTAATTAAACAATCTTTTAATGTGCACCTGATGGATGCATGTGGAGCCTATTTGGGAGGCAATCTAGCAAACTTGGGGAACTTGCTACATCGTCAAGATGTAGCAGGTTACATCAGAGCAGCGCTGCTCTTTGGAATTCAACATTTTCCTTCATAGCTTTCCTCAACTCGCAAATCGCGCATTGTACCAAAGCCTCGTTTGTGTACCCAGGCACAGCCATTCTCTCCCTAGAAGATTAGACCGTTGCTCAAAATTTGGACAAAAGTTGCTTTTCCCACCTTGTTCACCCCTCAGCTGACAGTGCTGTGGAAGCTACATGCTCCTTGGGCCAGCCACATGCTCGTCACCCCACGGGTACTTCGAACGGCTCGGTTATAACGCGTTGACACTATTGACACCACCACAACGCTGACAACGTCACCAACGGTAAAGCTCATAACCACGCCAGCCTTGCTACATCATGAATAAGGGGAATCTTTTTTTTTTTTCTGTTTTTGTTTGCGCCGGATATCCCATGACGCATCGCGCTCTCCGTTCTCTTCTCTTCGAGCGCTTGCTCGCTTGCACTGTTTTGTACGAAAAATATAGCCAGTCGTTCAAAATACAAACGTGCGATCATCATTTACGGTTATTATCCGTCATGCTTGACTCATTTCCGAACGAAATTCGAATATTTCAATTTTCGTTCAAGCTTCACCTTTAAGAAGCTGAAGCTCCGAGCTTATCAGGTCAAATTTAGGGGTTTTATGTGCCAGACCAACGACGGGCATCTGGCACGCCCCAGCGGAGGACTGAGGACTAATTTCGACCACCTGGGGCACCTTTGATGTACGACAAAAAGCTCGGTTAGGCGGCATCATCTCCACAATAAGCCTCCGTCAGATTGCGAGCACCTTGGCCATGATGTCTCCGAGCTTGTGCAGCATAACCTAGGGACTCTGGGCTCAATCTCCACCCCTTGCCCCCTTTGATCTTGATGAGCATTACACCATTGGGCGGCCGCCTAAACCTACTGCGTGACGCACGTTAAAGACTCCAGTCTAGCAGTCTCATCTCCAGCAGAGACACTGGACGGCCATTGCCGCCGACTAATTTTCCCGTCTAAACGTGCACACAACCCTGCTATACCCACACCACAATGAACTATGCCACGGTTCTCCCCAGGAATTTTTCAGGGGTGGATACAAGTTTGCAATGCAACACAATCTGGCTTGCCAACAGAACGCACTTTGCGCAGGTTCTCTAACTTTGCGGCCCTGAGAGTGGCACTATGCCACAATGATAGAACAAATATCAAATTGCACTAAAAAAAAAAAAAGTGGGGAAGGAAAGGCGGGGAGCGAGCAAAGAGGCGAAGATAAAGCAAGCACTGAGCAGTGAAAGAAAAGTCCTCTGCGTTTTCTGCTCCCTGCCACTCCCCGCCTGCAGAGAGAACTGCTTCGCCGCGTTCGTTGCGTCTGTCTGTTTTGTCTTTCTCCTCTGCCGAGCACCCCCCTTCCCCCATCCCCTCACCCTTTCCGCACTGAATCGCATTGTCATCCTATGGCATAATCGAGCTGTGGGCGGTCAGTTGGAGCAGTGGGCGGCAAAGCCACTGCCACCCATCGTGGGGGAGCCCTGCATTATGTGTAAGAAATCTATATGTCCACATACAGTAGCAAAAGCATACCAAGAACCCAGATCCCGCTATATTCCCAAAACAGCAAAGTCAAGCCCCATAAGACATTTAGCCAGGATTTTGTCCCACACAGGAGTCAAATTCCAGATATACACCGGACAAGAAGGGATGAGAAACGACGGGGCTCACCGGTCCACACACAAGACCCTACGGGGAACACCGGTGCCGCCAGTCAACACGAATGCCCTACAGAGAAGGTTTTGACCCGGAAAAGGTTGAGGCCCCACCGCGATCGCCGACAGAATGAGAACAACGGGGTGTCTCCTTTGGACGCCCAACACGCCTTGGCCGTGCATGCATGGTTGGTGCTTGCGAGATGCTGAAGCGTCGTTAAAAATAGGAGCGTGCACTAGAGGCAAGGGCCTCTTGCTATTCCTACTCTGTCGGCGACGACTATAGTACCTCCTGAGTATATAACGGAAGGAAGCGAGTCTACCTCGGACTCTTCCGGACGCATGCGGCACAGTTGCCGGTCAAGAGAGAAGTCATCTTCCGAGACAAACTTAATGCAAGCCTCTGCAGACCCGCGACCATCGTCCACCACCTGGTCTGAGACTGCCGCAACTAGAGCCACTAATAAGCTGCACTAGTAAGCTGCGATTGGCAACCGTTTGAAAATGCGATTTTCCTAGCTTTATGTACGACGTTGGGAAGGGGAAGGAAATTGACTTAGGAAGGCAAGGGCAGAAATCATATTCCTTTCTAGTTTTTAGGCTAGGTGGTGCAAGCTACCACTTGTTATGAGGGGTACAGCTGTTAATCTCAATCCCTCTGAAGGCTCAAGTATTGTTACTTTAAATTAAAGCGTAGCTTATTTATGCGGAGAGCAAGTCGTGTGTTTCTTGTGCAGGAGTTGCAGCAACATCAGAATGAGGCCGAGCTTTGATTGGCTCTGACTGAAGGATAGTGAGTAGACCTCAAAGCAAGCTGCCTTGAGGTCTGCCCACTATCCTTCAATCAGAACCAATCAGAGCTCAACGTTCGGACATCGCCAGAACCCCTGCAAAAGAAGCAGACAAACTTGCGCTCGGTGTACCGACAGCCGGGAACACCACCCAGCCTCGTTACCAGAAGACCACTGGCCCACCACTTGCAATACCTTGATAACTTTTTAGGAAAATAACCCAGCATACTGCAAGCTCATCTGGGATGCCCTCCAAAGGCTCGTGACTCAAGGGGACGGCGCCGAGGTTAATTTATTTGACCCTTAAGGAACTATACAGACATCATAGGGCAAGAGTAGGCCCTGAACGTCCTAGTAAAGATGTTTTCAAATCAAATCTTTTATTTCCTTGCCTTCTTTCGGTTATGTAGTCCCAACAATTGCAGCTCACAAGATTCATTCGTGCCTTTGTCAGGTAAAGCCTTTATTCAGTCGAAGTATCAATTAATGATGTTGAAAAAGGATACAGTCTAAGCTCATTACAACAGACCTGGTTACAACAGACATTTGGATATAACATACCGATTTGTGAAGTTTGGGTGGTTTTCCTCCACATACCATTGACTTAACTTCATATCTGCATACAACATATTCCTTTACAACAGACCAAAATCTTGGTCAAAATCAAGGTCTCTTACAACGAGCTTAGACTGTAGTTAATCGACATTTGACATGTTTCGGCTTAGCAAAACACCCTTGTAAAGAAAACTGTGATCACTGCTGCAGGCAAACTAGAACAGTAACCACAGCGGTCTTTGAACACAATTCAAATATAACTCACATAAGTAAAGACTTGTTCATTACTGTAAAATGGCAGTAAGAAATCCAATGCATTGCAGGACTTGTATGTACAACTCTTCAGTATGGTCATGTACATGTACTAATGACATACAAACTTGGCACAACTGTCGACAATCTGACAGGTATATGTACACAATGCATGCATTCTAGTTCCTCCCCCTCCCCTCCCCCACCCCCAGCTTTACACTGGATGATATCACATCTTGCCAATCGTCGATCTGCACTTCTCAATATGACTCAGCAGGTCCGACAGGTTTTTTCTGAAATGCAAGCATAGGATGTTCAATATTAAACCCATTTCAGTCTGAGAAACAGAGGTGTGAAGTCTGAGTTGAATTTGAATAAATAAAACTTCATATAGAGCTATCAAAAGCAAAGTGTTTTCACAGGGGCTCCAAGTTGGACACTCGATCGGCGAAAATGTGTGCCGCAACTGGCCAGTGTCGCGCTATGATGGCCTCTATCCTGGGAAAAGTGGCGTCATTCACCGTTGCAAAAATGCTCGAGACACGTGCCGTGCGCCGCTTCTGGGAAGAACATGGCGTCTGAAATCTAGCTCAGTGCTGTGCTGTGCTGCCATGATCTTCCCAAGGGCTGCACATTGCACGTGCCTCGTGCATCGACACACCTTGTGCTACTTTTGAAACATGAAGGGCCTTTGTACCAAGGTCGAGCGTGGTGCTGTCCAACCGCGGTGGTCAGTGATCTCGCCGACTTTCTCGCTAAAGCACTGGACCAAGCCCTAGAACAGCATTGTCCTGCAAGCTCGAGCACGAGTTGAGGGACACAGAATGTGTTAAATTATTATACATACGAAAAGTGTGATTGCGTAAGGCCCGCACACGTCGGCCCTACTGCCCAACACGCACAGAAAACATGTGCAACCCACACACTTTACACTACTTGCAGTAGCTCGACACTTTCAATGTCGCACCCGTTTTTGTCGGCATGATCAAACTAGTCACTGACAAGATGAAAACGGCAAGGCGTCTCTTTTGGATGGCCCGCCTACAGCACCTGTAGCGGCAATCGGTTCATCGAACGACATTTCGTCGACATGCAACGTTTATCGACAGTTTGTTCCATCAAAGGGCTTCTTGCGTTCCTTTCATAGACAACCTTGCAACGTTTCGTTGAACAACCCTGCTGCCTGCGCAGCATGCCTCAGTGAATTACATGGCAGCTTTTAGCAGCTTAGCAAAAAAATATGCTGTCTAAAAAATGTCGCAGGAGCACGTGTCCACAAAACGAGTTTCCACGAAACATAGTTTTGATGTAATGTGTGTCCACGCAAAGTTGTTCATGAAACGTGTTTCGACGAAACAACAGGGACCTGGTGAAACCCCTTAGTGGCAATTGTTGCGCAAATTGACGTTGAATTTGAAAAGACATGGTAGCGCTCGAAGAAGACCATGCCAAAAGGTTGCAGGCCACCGTGGTAGCACACAGTGGCGTCCAATTTTGCTTCTGTCCTTGCCTCGGAGCGCTAGAGTTTATTTTGAAACTTCTCTCCACTATTTCTCATCCCGTCGATGACCATAGTGAAAATTTTTATACGAACATGTGGATTTCTCCTCTTGTCGTGCACTTACCGTATGGCTGCATCGCTGCCGCCTCCTCTTTTGCGCTCCACGTCCTGCGCGGCGACGGTGACCTTGGACATGGCATCGGCCACCAGCCGCGGATGCAGGGTGGCCACGTCGTGCAGCAGGCGGAACACGCCGCTCGTACTCCACGCCAGGTTGCGTCCCACAAACGACGACAGCGCCTCCACCAGGGACCTTGAGGAAAGGAACACCCACGAGACTGCCTTGTAGATGGCAGGCTACTAGAACCACAAAATATGCTACACTTACAGCAAGGGTACTCAATCCTTTATATCTCGACGAGCCCCCGTCTCTACTGAAAATACCCTCTCCCAAACCAGGTGTTAATTTATTGAAGCAGTGAGAAAGCCTACAGATTTTGTAAACAATAATGTAGATGAGAGGGTTCGGCTGAAAGTTATGCATCAACGAGTGGCTAAGATTTGCTGCTCAAACTGAAAACCACTCATAACTCGGAGGCAGGGAGGGTCAAGAAACCTCAAGCGCTCGGAAAACCCATGAGGGAACTCAGAGAAACCTTTGGATTCCTAGGAACTGAGTTGGAGAACCCATGGTTAAAGTATCAACACTCCACCTCAAATGTTCTCATGGACACCGCCACTTTGGTGTTTGGTGCAGGGCGGGCGCAGTTAGCGATCGTCATGATTAAAAAATGCGGTGCCCCGAGGTTTAAGCATGGTGTCAGGAACCTCAGGCAATGTCATTTTGCTCTGTCACAGACTGTTTCTCAATATTCATTTATTTTGGAAGACGGGAAAGTGCTCCCTGCGATTTTAAATAAAGCTTCAGGTAACGGAGTCCAGATTCATGAAACAATCTTATGGCAGAAAAGGTACATACGACAAAACCTAAGAACAAATCCGTATTCACAAAGTGAAATTGCCGTAAGTTTTGCGTATGTTACGGTGGAACCCTACGACAGCTACAGAGCTGTCTCCCACACTTTTTACGATCGAACCCATGTAGCCAACATTGCTCGCTTATGTCGTTGCGGCGACCGACGGGCATTTATTTTTATACATGTTCTCTGCACCCGTCCCGAATTCAAGCAGCAAGAAAAAACAAATAAATACTCGAAACTGCATGCCGCGAAGACGAACACTGAAACCACGAATACCCGAAAAAAGCTATAGCAGCAACAATAATACCGACCAGGCTTCTGCCAAGGGCCAACTAGGAACGCTAGGCCTAGCAAGGCACGACGTAACATTGCTCCGACGTCCCTGGTCAAGACAGTCTGCCCACGACTGGCTGGCTTGCTGAATGGAATATGCCTGCGCGACTGTTGTAGACACTTTCCGTATGAATAGTTTGAACCCTGACCTCTATTTTTAGGTAAGATGGCCAGTCTCTTTTTGTCGTCCCCTTGTTTTCAGAGGCGGCGGTGGCAAACGCTCTCATTGAAAAGGGACTCTCCTCGATTCGACCTCCTTATTTGTGTCTTGTTGGCGGCATGCAGAACTACAGGGGGCGCTTCTCTAGCTATCATCATCATTTATGACGTAGCAGGTAGGATGGACTGCAAAGATCTTGGATTTCTCGCCTCGTCAGCTAGCTTCATGTGCTGCTTGGGTAATGCGTGCAAAGCCTGTTTCACGTGTTGCGTTTATTTGGTGAAGTGATATTTGTAATGGGAAATTTTGCCAAAGCTTGAAACCGTGGCATGCGTAGTCACGCTAACAAGCACTTTTGACGCTGAGGTGTCAAAGTGCTGGGATGGAGGTGTGCTGCTCTCTACCCCAGTACAAAAAGCTGGACAATGAAAATAGAATATCAAGCGCTTTACCCCACTACAATCCACCACGGCAAATAGGGTGTAATTTTTATTATGATTCAGACAAAATAAAACTGAAAAAGGAATGTCTCATCAAATTGAAAATAAAAGAGCAAAATTCGAGAACCTCTCACGTGTGTAATAAACACTTCAGTGAAAGTGATTCCGTGAATCCTGTTAGTTCAGATGTGTTCTGTGAGTGCTGGTCTCTTATTAATGCGAAAGCATTAACTATCCCATGGAGCAGAGCCAGCGGCGTCTGTAACCGCAAGAGCATGCGAAAGAAATGCCCATTCTTCCATTGGCTCAGCAAAACAGCTCCTAGATAGCTATTGACAGCCACTTTACGAGAGTGTGCGCTCAGCCACCGCTCTCACTGCCGGAGGGAGGGAGGGGGGGGGGGGGGGTGTTGCGGCCGCTTCATGAGAGCGCGCGCTCAGCCGCCGCCCTCCTGCCAGGCGTTGCCGGCGGATGGTGGAGGGCTCTGCTCTCCTTGTTTGAAAGAGTGGCGGCAGTCGGTGATGCGATAACACGCGATAATGTGGCAGTGTGCAGGCCTTACGACGGTCTGCAGCCATGTGCGCAAGCAAAATCACATCGTCATCCTGTGACATAATCGAGCGGTGGGTGGTCAGTGAGAGCAATGGGCGGTCAGTCGGAGCAATGGGCGGCAAAGCCACTGCCGCCCACCATGAGGAGAACCCTGTTGTACGCTCTCATGTTTTTTTGGGCAGGAGTTTAGAGGAGAATGAGTATTAAACTGCCGGCAGATCTGTTTGAGTATGACTCTGCATTTGAAGACGACTCCTACGCTCTCGTGTTTCATGGGGCAGGGCAGAGCCGTATATTGGGAGAATTTGGCCAGTTTATGATCTCGTCGCCGTAACGCCCCCTTCCGAGTCAGCCAATCGGCCCACGGCGCAGAGGGAGGGGCACGAGCGCATGCGCGCCAGCTCCTGGCTGCTCCCAGCGGTGCAGGGAGGGCCGCCACTTTCATTCATTCACCCTGTGGAATGCATGGAATCAACATCAAATTTCACTTTTTTCTTTTTATTTTGCTGGCTCTGGCACGAAAATGATATAGTGTTATTCCTCCAACTGCTCCAGACATCGCAAAAACACTGTCACTGCCGCTGCACTGTGCTTTGTTTCAAAGCAGCCGTAGGATGCTTCGCATCTCCACAGTCATCGGCGTTTCCTGAGGTGCCTCTTTGACGTCACTTTGTGTTTACTCAGGCCGCAGGCAAGGTCTACGATCACAGCACAGCACCCGTGGCAGGAGCAACAATGGGAATGTCTGCATCCACAAGCGTGAACAAATAAAAGTTATCCTCAGTGGCTTCACCACAGTGTTTACACACACTCCTGTACAGATCCTTGCAGTTCCGGGAATTGTGCGCCGGCTCGGCAAGCATGCTCGCGAGGGAAAATCCAATGTGCGCAAAGCTCTTGTTGATCAATCATCTCTGGGTTGTGGGCACGCTTTCTCTTGCATAAGAAACTTCTCGACCTCGTCCAGTATACCTTGCTTGTCCTGCAAAATAGTGGACAGTGTCGAACAACCAATGCTGGAATGTCGAATTCTTTGGCGATTTCGAACTTGGGACGGCCACTTTCTCAACCTCGCAGATTTAAGCGACTCTCGGTAAATACTCTCACTCTCCCATACAACGCACGTGTATGCTGCAGGCGCGTGCATCAGGGGCTCCCAAAGGGATGATCTTCTCCTGGTTTTATCAGCTTTATCGCTTCCTTGACTCAATTCCGACAAAAGTAGGGCAGCGTAGGCTGCAGGCGCCGTAAGTAGTTCCAGAACGTGGACGCTGCTCCCTGGCTGCGTCGGTGCATCGGCATCGGAAGCAGCGCTCTGCGCACTCTGCCTTCCATCACCAGTTTGCTCAGTTTTCTTGTTTGCCGTTTTTCCAGCTTGTCGTTTGCCTCGGTGGAGAAGAGGGAAAGAATGCAAAGGACTCTGCATGCGCCTGTGTATGCTTGTGTGGTTTCGGCACCTCAGCCTTAGTAATAAGCGCAGTCGGCCGCCGATACACTTCAAATAATCCAGTTCAAAATGCATGCATTTCGGTCCGGACCACATTGAACTTCGATAAAAGCGATAATTCTAGAAAAGTGATTTCGTTATAACAAGGGATTACAGTATTTGGCATGTTCTGTTTAAAAGTTAAGAAGAAAGGCGCTTGTTTGCTCAATTAAAGGGGGACACTACCCAGAAAAAAAAATTTCTGCAAAAAACGTTGATTTTGAAAATTTACATATTTACATTCAATAACATCTAGAGAGTATTCCCAGAAATTGTCACTAGTTTACACTGCATAGTTAATTTTTTATAAATTATTTTCTGCCCACCAAGGCTAAAGAAAAGGTAGGGTTTGGAGTACTTTAAACACATTTTCCTCTGTTCCACTTTTTGGTATAAATTCCATTTTAGTCAATCTATTGTTTGATAATGGCAATACCAGGGAAGGCTCGTTCTTCACTTTTCCTGACTGAAATTTAGCAAGGAGTGCGGCTATGGAATTTTTTTGTCTCTTTACGGATGTCTTTTATAAAAATGTTGACATTTTGTCGAAGACATGGAAGAACAAAAAGTTTACCAATTTTGCAGAAGTGAAAATTGATAGAAAAAAATGACTTTCCACAAAAAGCTTTCCATAGCCGCACCTCCTAGGCATTCTACTAGACATCTAGCGAATAAAAATCTTCAATATTGTGATAGTTTTTTGATGATAGATTAACTAAACAATGTAGGCATGTTGCAGATAAAAGCTGCCCTAATTTCCTTCCCAGTTAACCGACTTACCTGACAGTTTGTTAAGCACCCTCTAGCATGACCACCAGCCTAGCCTGTCAATTTCATTCATTTTAAGCCAAGGGTTCAAAAATTGACCCTCCTAAGGGGTGTCCCCCCTTAAACAAAAGAAGTTCTGAAAAATGTGCATTTGTACATCGAACTGAATAGTAGTAGAGCTTGCATTTTCTTTCAGTCCCACCCCTGCTCTCACTTTGCTCCTTCACCCCCCCCCCCCACATGTCACCTCTTTTACACCGTAGATTATGGCCCCCTACCAATATCACACTAACTGTTTTTCTCTTTGATAGGCACGACTTTTGCAGGAAGTTAGGCCAACATTCAATGAAAAACCTAGATATATGAAACACATGTAGTGTAGATATACCGTAAAACATTGGGCAAGCGCCCACTATAACTTAGGAGATAATCACAAAAAAATGATGGGCGCTTGTCCGGTGATCAATTTTATATACCAATGTACTGTGCATATTTTCTCAGATCTTACAAATTTGGGAATGGGCGCTTAATGTGGAATGGGCGGAGTGCACCAATGGCAAGCTTTAAGTAAACACATTTTAGTCTGTGAGTTTGCAAAGCTCAAGAAGCATGCTCAGGAGGCACACTCAAAAAGCTACTGCATATTCCGTATATTGCCGCATATAGGTCGACTCTGAATGCGGGCCTAAACCTTCCCCTCCGCCCCAAATTTTGACACATATTCTTTCATTGATTTTTTTTTTTTTTTCAGGATACTTATTTTTGAGATGCTCTAATTTGAGATACCCATTTCTGAAAAGGCTGACTTGTGCGCGACAATATACAGTATATGTGGCAAGTGCTCTGGGTGTTCATACTCATGTTCGCCGGCACCGAGCTTGTCCTTGCTGTCCCTCAGGATCTGCGTGACAAGCTCACGACACAACTTGGCGTCGGTGCTTGAGTTGAGAAGGTTCTCAAACAGCGCGGGAAGGAGAGCCTTGATGATGCTGCGAGAAACAACAAAACGTGAGACAGAGTTCTGCGGGTTTATCGGGTTACGTTGGGGTTCTCACACTTTGCGATTTTGAGGAAACTCCATCTGGCTCGACCGAAAGCTTAAAGGAGCTGTGCAACAATTTCAGGGCTTTGCTTAAATTATTGTGGAAGTTGATGCCTGACACTTCTGAAGTGAACTACAGAAAACAAATTTTGCCTGGGTACCCTAGTTTTTATTTTAAAAAATGAAAAAGATCCAGTTCTTTGCCACCTCTCAACTCGTTCGTCGTCTTCCGGGTCACGTGCGCAGTGACGTTGATGGGGTAGGCTGGGGTTCCGGAAAACTTCTCTCTTTAGAGCCAACAGTGAGCAGCGAGAACTCAGCCGCTTGCGACCGCGTGACCACGTGCTGGCGGGCGCCACGCAAACAATACGGTGAAAGGAGGAAAGTCTCATCCGGGTCCGGCCATACCCGTCCGGCCCTGTCCCCCTCCCCCCTTTGGCTTCTGGCGGCTGTTTGCGGTAGCAGAGAGAGCTGACGGTTTTGTGGACCTAGGATAGATGGCGCCACTAAAACTCCGTCTAATAAAAGTTTTGTCGACGATACCAGGTTTTTGACGCATTTATATACAGTATAGACCACTTACAACGTAACCGCTTATAGTGCAGGACCGGGTATAACGCGGTTTTTTTAAACCACCGGTTCGCCTCCCATAGAACTCCATGTAATTACATACCGCTTAAAACGCAGGCGCGCGACGGGAAATACCGGTTATAGTGCGGTTTCTGGCACAGCCCGCCGACCGCGCCGACGACCGGAGCAGCGAGCACGCTTGCCTGTGCGACACTAGATAACGGCGCTGACGGCGCGAGCCGCAAGCGTTGCGCAAGCGGCACTCGCGGGGCAAGGAGGGTGCTCGAAGAAGCGGGAGAAGCGAAGAGAGAGGCTTCAGTTGCCCTCAGTTGCCCTAGCGACGGAGGGACGCACGCACGTGTCGTTCACGTGCGTGCGTCCCTCCAATGCGTTGGAAACCAACAACCGCAACGACAGGAGAAGTGTTCGCGCGCGTTGCATGCCCGTCGCGGGCCGGCTGCTTCTATCCGCGAACAAGGCGTCGGTTGTGATCAACGTTGTGATCGTCGTCGAAGACGGCGTTCATCTCATCGTTCCGCGTAAAAGCGCTATCCTTGACTGTGAATTTTCGTCGTGTGTCGCTATGATAACCCGAGTAGGATCCACCTACTCGAGCGGCGATGTCGTGGCGGCGCTCTCAAGCCGGCAGAAACGCCCGTGTCGTCGTGTTTGTTTACTTCGACTACAGTGGTGATTTCTAAGCATTTGTGTCCTCGAACATAGCCCGGACTTCTTATTTGGCGCATTTCGTGCGTGTGCTCAAGTGCAAGGTATTACTGGCGCGTACCGTATGAAGGATGCGAATTTTCACGCGTTTTCATCTCCGGAGAAAAGTGATTAGGGTTAGCAATCCTGAACGCTCGCAACGTCCGTCCGCAACCCGCGACGCCGCCAGGCAAAAGCCGCTCATTTCTTTCAAAATGTGTGACACACTTGAGAGAGAAGTGTACTAGTCTGGTGAAATAAAGACTTTCCTCAAACTAAGCTTTATTTTTCATCTAACATAAAATAAATTCTTTTACAAACGTAATAGCATGTATTTTGGCCTGAAAAATTGATGTTTTGGTTATAGTGCGGTACCGCTTATAGTGCGGATTTTCGCGACTCCCGCGACATACGTTATATGCGGTCTACACTGTATATATGTCTGAACGACAAGATTTATAGAAAAGTTACCTTTTATCGAGCAGGTATTCGCACAACTTGCTATCTTTCTACAAGATTCCCCATTGATGTCACGTTGCGTGTTTCTCATGGCCGCCGCTCACGGCTGCAGGTCGGGGAATATTCTAAGTTTTGCCTCGCTATTACATGGCGGAATTGCAACATTTCGATGAAAGGAGGTGTGTTTTCTGTCATTTGTGACAAGGTGAGTAATATCAAATGCGGAAGATGCCAATTCTTTCAACATTAAAATCGTTGCACAGCTCCTTTAAAGGGCAACTCCACTCAAAAAGTCGACTCGAAATGACTGATATTGCTTTAGGGGGTCAAAATAAGGTCATACCCAAAATATCACGTCAAACCGACGCCGCATTACCAATTAAAATCAATATTAAAAATGTTCTCCCGGCTCGGTTAGCGGCACGAAAGCGGGTGAGTAACGCTGGCACCACGTCAAACCGACGCCGCATTACCAATTAAAATCAATATTAAAAATGTTCTCCCGGCTCGGTTAGCGGCACGAAAGCGGGTGAGTAACGCTGGCACCGGGTGAGCTAGTGAAGCAACACTGGGCAATGACGTAGGTTTAGTCCTACGCTCTCGTATGGACGCCGCGAATGCTTCGTTTCCTGTGGCATTCTGCGATTCTGCTGACGGCAAGAGGTGCTTACCACATTATCCCGTGTTCTCCCATTTTTATTAGCGTCCAGGCAGTTCATTTAAGTCCAGCATTGCTTATGCGACAGCGCGGAAGAGAGCGAAGCGGTGCTGCTCGCTCACGCGCGTCGTGAAACCGGAGAGACTTGCCGGACTCGCGTTGGGCAATGTCGAGCATGACTTGTAGTGCTGTGGGTTGCACCAACAACCCGGTGCGCAACCCGGAGCTGCGGTCCCACAAGTTCCCAAGAGACCGGAAGAGGCACAAGGTGTGGGTCGGTGCCGTTCGCCAGATAGACTTCGGAAGACTGTCGACTCCGAGCGCCAACGCGAAGCTTTGCTCCCAGCACTTTACGTCAGACACCTACACACGGGATCTGCGGCTGCTGACTGTTGCGGGTTTCTCCACAAAACACGCGTCTTTGAAGAACAATGCGGTGCCGTCGCTGCTCGCGTACCGTCCTCTGGCTGCCCCAGCACGATCGGCCGGACGCACCAGGTCGCGGCTGATCTAACTAGCGTACACATAAAGGCACCTTAGCTTTAACAACTTAGACCGCTTGTGGATACACCTGTCCATCTACCTCCCATTATTTATTTTTCTCTCGGTCCGCGAGCAAGAAACAAATACAGCTACGCTGCACCGGCACTGACTGCGTCATATTTATAGCAGTTGGATTCGCTTTTTGGCCAGCAAATTTATAAATACACACTAAAACATTCGCAATATCTACAAAACTATACACACTACCGAAAAACAAATTATATCTCGTGATTCAGGGTCGCCGACTTCGACTAAACAGATCATAACCCAAAAATCGTAAAAATGAAGTGGAGTTGCACTTTAAGAACACCTCCCGGTCTTGGCGTTCATGCAATAAAGCAGTGCAGACGTCTACAGACTTTGTAAATAATTAGGCACAAAGTAAGAACTGTTTGGTTCACAATTAATGGCTCGGATCTCTTAAGATAGTGCTTAAACTGGAAAACACTTTAACTGAGAGTTGGGACTGCTGAGAGAATATGAGCTCAAGGGGCCCCTGGTTTATTGGTGCCCCGTTTCAGAACCCACTCTAGTTTAAGATGTACCAATTGACAGAAAGTAAACTTCAATGTTACACAATATGTGAACAAAGCTTCAAGAAAACTTCAGATAGTTGAGATGTAGGCATGAGCCCACTGTTAAAATTCGTCACGTCAGTACAATGCTCATCCAGATCAAAACAGGCAGGGCTGGAAATTGAACCCAGCATTGCTGGGTTCTGTAGAGCGAGGTTTCGCTCCATATGCACCGAACTGCGGTGCGCTGACGCGCTCGGCCACCGACCCCCCTGTTGGTTTCGACCAATTTGAACAAAAATACTGCTAGCATCAGCTTCTCCTCTTTCTCCGACAACTCTTGAATGGGCAGAATGTGAAGAAAACTAACTCGAGAGACAGCATTACCCTCCAGAACTAAGTCTATAAAGCGGGTCATGCTAAAATCGGGTTTCTTTGAAAAATATTTCCAGAGGACAATGTTCAGGCATATTGCATTGAGCCCATGATGAGGTCCTTGAGTGAGAAGATCGAGAGGGTTAAACATACCTGCTGTATTCATTCTGAGTAGGCCTCACTCGCTTCACGACCTCCTGGATGAAGCGAATTCCCTGCAGCACAAGGAAGGAAAGAGCCAAACGACTGTCAGCATTCATTTCCTGTTCACTAAAGCTGGAGAATTTACTTGTCAAACTTAAACGATGTGCTGGATTGCTTTCAGAAAGTTAATTTATACATAGTAGTCTTTAATCTTCTCTGCAGCTCTAATTTAACAGTGACAAAAGGGAAATAGACACCTTGATATAAAACAACACTTCCACAAAAATGATTGTCTGTTGAAGTAAACCAAAGCCCTAGCTGGGCCCATTCTCTGCAGTTTCATTGTGTACTTATGACTGCCGCAATGAATTTATGTTTGGCTAATAAGGTACACGGCCTAGCAAGGTAAAACTGACCGCTACTGTGAATTTTTGAGGTAGGTATAAAATAATCGATTTCATGCAAACTATGCGATGTGAATAGAAAATGAGGCTCATGGGGAAGAGAGCTGTAGTGACCACAGCTGGCAGTGAGCGACCGCACAGTGCTGCTTCTTTCTTACACTTTTCTTGCATGCACGCACTATACGAACAGCATGTATCTCCGAGACAAGAAAGGGAACCAAAGGGACAACATTCCAACATCCTCTCAACCAATAAAAAAAAAAGAATAGCAAAAAAAAAAAAATCTGTTCTGGATTTGCGAATTAGCCACTGCCGGTTGAGCACAATGTTAAAAATTTCTCAATACCAAGGTCTTTTGATAGCAACACATTCTTTTCTGATTACAGTGTAGACCGCATATAACGTACGTCGCGGGAGTCGCGAAAATCCGCACTATAAGCGGTACCGCGCTATAACCAAAACATCAATTTTTCAGGCCAAAATACATGGCATGAGACAACTTACCTTTGTAAAACAATTTATTTTATGTTAGATGAAAAATAAAGCTTAGTTTGAGGAAAGTTTTTATTTCACCAGGCTAGTACACTTCTCTCTCAAGTCTGTAACGCATTTTGAAAGAAATGAGCGACGTTTACCTGGCGCAGCCTCGCAGGTTGCGGACGGACGTTGCGAGCGTTCAGGATTGCTAACCCTAATCACTTTTCTGTGGCGATGAAAACGCGTGAAAATTCGCATCCTTTATACGGTACGCGCCAGTAATACCTTCAACTTGAGCACAGGCATGAAATGCTCCAAATAAGAAATCCGGGCGATGTTCGAAAACACAAATGCTTAGAAAGCACCACTGTAGTCAAAGTAAACAAACACGACGACACGGGCGTTTCTGCCGTCTTGAGAGTGCCGCCACAGCATCGCCGCACGAGTAGGTAAATCTTCCCTTCTAGTACGAGCTGGGTTATCATAGCCACACACAACGAAAATTCACAGTCAAGGATAGCACTTTTACGCGGAACGATGAGCTTCTACCAAAACCGACGCCATGTTTGCGGATAGAAGCAGCCGGCCCGCGACCGGCATGCAACGCACGCGAACACTTCTCCTTGACCTGCGATTGGTCTGTCGTTGCGGTTGTTTCCAATGCAGCGGAGGTGTGTCCCTCCGTCGCTATGGCAACTGAAGCCTCTCTCTTCGCTTCTTCGAGCAACCTCCTTGTCCCGTGATTGCCGTTTGCGGCTCGCGCCGGCTTGCGCCGTTGCCTAGTGTCGCACAGGGAAGCATGCTCGCTGCGTCGGCGCGGTCGGCGGGCTGTTCCAGAAACCGCACTATAACCGTTATTTCCCTTCGCGCGCCTGCATTTTAGGCGGTATGAAATTACATGGAGTTCTATGGGAGGCGAACTGGTGGTTTAAAAAAACCGCGTTATACCCGGTCCTGCACTATAAGCGGTTACGTTGTAAGTGGTCTATACTGTATCTTTATTAAATGCTTTTTGTTTCTGTGATAATTTGTTCTTAGGTTTCGTTCAGGTGTCAAGGCCCGTCACGCCATAATGTTCACGGGTGATGTAATTGGGACGTCCGGACCCTGCTCTGAACACTGTTTAAGGTCAGCAGTAGTAAACAAATACAGTAATCCCTAGTTATAACGAAGTCAATGGGATGGCAAAAGTTTGATATAAGCGGTAATTCGATAAAAGCGATAAGGCCAAGAAAGGTGCCAGCAGCCTTGAAGATGGACGGGAACACTGCGGAACACTTTGACCGTATATTTGATCAAACAAACCTTGGTTATGAACATCCCACGGCAGCTTTGCTGAGTAAAAAAAATAATTAAGTGGAGTTTGCCGATAATTTCATCCGGGCATCAGCTCTCAAACTGCCACAGGCATTGCAAGAAAACTGTCACTGTCACTGCACTCCACTTTGTTTCGAAGCAGCCGTAGAATGTTTCGCGTTGCCGCAGTCGTCGGCGTTTCCCGAGGTGCATCTCCAACGTCTCTTTCTGCTTAGCCCGGCCGCACGCAAGGTCTATGATCGCAGCATCCCTGGCAGGAGCGAAAACGGGACGGCAAGTGCCAATGAATCAAAGTTATCCTCGGTGGCTTTACCAACCATATTTCCACAGACTCCCGTAGAGATTGTTGCAGCTATGGAAATCGTGCGCCGGCTCGGCAAGCATGCTCTTGAGAGAAAATTCGACGTGCGCAAGGCAGTTGGCAATCTTTCATCTTCGGGTCACGGGCGCACTTTTTCCTGGATGAGAAACTTCACGAACCTGTCCAATATGCCTTGCTTGTTCTGCAAAATGGTGGACATTGTCGAACAGCCGATGCCGGAATGTCTAGTTCTTTAGCGATTTCAGACTTGGGCCAGCCACTTTTCTCAACCTCAAGCAACTTTAGGTAAACACTCCCCATCTCCCGCACGACGCTAATGCGAGTAAAGTATGCCGCAGGCGCATGCGTCGGGGCTCCCGGAGGGATTATCTCCTCTGGGCTCCACTGCTCCTTTCACCCAATTCCAACAGGAGCCAGGCAGCGTCAATAGCAGGAGCCGCAAGTAACATCGGAACATTGACACTGCTCCCTGCCCGCATCCCCGAGTCGGTGCATCGGCATCGGAAGCGGCGCTCTGCCGCTTCCGATGCCGATGATTGTTGATAACTTATTGATAATTTATTGATAGATTATAAATTAGGAATATAAATTATTGATAAATATTATAAATTATTGATAAATTATTAGTAATTGTAATTCTATTGTGCGTATGTTTATACAGCCGGAAGTTAGTCAGCCCACATGGGCGCCTCATGTCTCAGCTGTAGATGAGACAATTTAGCCAGTGCATTACAACTGCTAGCCTGGGGTCTTTTAACATGCACCACGCAGTGGTGATGCACGACCGCACACCGGTACAATGCTCATCCAGACCGAAATGGGCAGGGGTGGGGATTGAACCCAGAACCACTGGGTTCGGCAACGCGAGCTTTCGCTCATCGTGCTCCGAGCTGGTGTGCGCAAGCCCACTCAGCCACCGATCCCCCAAACAACTTCCGAGTTTAACTGATGTTACAAAATATGAGATCCGGAATAAATTAGGAATTGCTGTACCCCCCAAAAAATTGAGTTTTTTCATCGTAAAAATAAACTACACATGGTGGAACGCCCAGCTTCATAGATCAAAAGTTATATGCGATTTTTGAAAATTTTCAATGGTAATTAGTGGTGCTGCCAAAAATACATGGGACTGAATGGTGTAAACTACCAAGAATGAGCTCCATCTTTTCATTGAGTTTCAGAAAATCAGTTATAGCTTTGGAATAAGATAATGATTAGTTCTGAAGCTTTGGCATCTGGTCTGGACCACTAGCACTACGTTTGGACAGAGGCCAAGTTTTCGGCGATATATACCTTATTTTTGCGGTGAAAAGATACATTTTTGGTGTATTTTTGGCAGATGGGTCACTATCTGGGAGACCTGCCTTAACTTTACGTGCTCAATTTTTCCCACGAAACTCGTAAGACAAAGGTACTTTATGGCAAACGTTTTTTGTCGGTTCCATGAAGTTTTGCTGTAGAGACAGTTAACTATGTTAGAGAGAAAAATCATACAATTTCATCACCAACTTCGCCTGTTCTGCACAGAGCTGGTGCTTCCAATTCCATGAAAACTTGAAAAATGTCTTTCTTTCTTTCTGCAGCCTTTCAGTAGAAACTGTCTCATTCACCTGGCCAAAATGCGCGTGGGCCACTCCTTTCTTGGGGATGAAGTTGTCACAGATGCAGTCCAGCAGAAGTGAGACATACAGCTCCCGCTTCTGAGACGCACGAGACCCAGCACCAGTGTCAAGCACCACCTGCAAGGAGCAATGCGGAACACAGCTAGAAAATAAACCCAATAGCCTTTGCATAATTTCTATTTGCCCACATAAAAAATGTTGAAAAAAAGAGGCAATACAATACATCTATAGGCAAAGGTATAAGTATACAATCATTAGAAGTGTATTTTATATGTGTAAATATACCCATGTATTGAGCGCATTGATGTTTATATACAGTACTTTCTCTTTAATTGAGATTTCTTGGCACAGTCATTATGTGGATTGTTATGTGTATATACATTGTTGCAGTGCTCGTAACATTGGTGTACGTGTGAATCTCAGTTCTGTAAGTTGAAGACCTTTTTTGCTGTGACAGTGTATACTCAACAGGGTGTGTACGCAAATTTGTGTGCCCCTCCTGCTTGGGCCTTTTGGCCCGCAGTATGTTTAATTATTTACATAAACAAAATAAATAAATCCTTGTACAGAGCACAACACAGTACAAACAAATTATTGCCAATTTGTCGCTGTTTTGCTCTCACAGCTGAAAGGCAGGCACATAGCCAGGGGGGGAGGAGGGGGGGGGAGGCCAGGCCCCCCCCCCCACTTCCCCCGAAATCTTCCATTTTGGTGGGACCTCCTCTCTCCCCTCCCCAAAACCAAATCCTGGCTATGTGCCTGCTTGCAGTAGAGAGTGCTTCTCACAGGACACAACTAACTGTTTTACTCTGATATACCTAGGTTGATTATCAATACAGATCAACCCCTATACTAAAAAACTCGCAAAAAAAAAATAAAATTAAAATATAGAGGTTGACAACAATATTTAATCTGGGACGGGAGGAGATCTGTAGAAACATTTATTTCACAACGTGCTTAGTCGCCCTAGCTAAAGCTCGCTTGTTGATTGTGCTGGTCATGTCGTCATCCAAACTTCCAGAACCTTGGTCCTCCAAGCCATAGCACTTGCACTGCGCCGCTCGAGTCATGGATTCACTGCTTAGCACCAGCACTCTTGTGTGAAGCATCATCTTCTTGCAATGATGTCAATGTGTCAAAACTTGTTTTGTGCCGGCGCGCTTAGAGAAACGGCTATCACAGGGGAGCACATCAGTTAGCTCGATGTGGTCAAAATTTTGATCCCTAGTACAAGCAGAGGTTTGTCGGTCAGGACTAAAGGTCCATTCCTAATTTTATACAACTTGGACAGTAAAGAATTGTTAACCTAAATACACAGAGTGCAAAAAAAAACCAAAGACAAGTGCTGTTTTATTGAAAAAACAATAATGAAAATAAATGTGAATGTTGTAACGGAATCAGCATGTGCCCAAGAATATAATCTCTTCCCCACATAAATTAACAGATGTCTGACTCTTTCCCCTCCCTTTAATGTGAAAGCGTCAACTATTCCAGGGAGCGGAGCCGGCGGCATCTGTAACCGCGATAAAACGTGAAAGAAATGCCCACTCTCCCATTGGTGGAGCAAAACGGCTCCTAGATAGCCATTGGTGGCCGCTTCATGAGTGTGCGCGCTCGGCCGTCGTTCTCATGTCAGGCGTTGCCGGAGGGGAGGCGGGGGGGGGGGGGGGGGGGGGGGGGGGGGGTGCTGCAGACGTTTTGCACGTTTCGGCGCCGAAAAACATGGCGGCGCCCGAGGCATCTATACCGTCGGTGGCAGACCTCGGCAGTAGCGAAACATGGCCATCCTCACCAGTACCAACGTTATTAGATTAGCTCAGTTACGGAACTGCTCATATAGATGCTGCATGCACAAGCAGTACCCCCCCCCCCCCCCCCCCGACTCGCCTCCTGTTGTTCGACGCGCCGGACGGCTGCTTTGGTAACTGCAGTGTATTCTATGGGATACGTATGATTTGAAGCGCAGCGTCTAGATGGCGCTTCTGCATACTCTATGGAACACACAGTTTGTAAACGAAAATCGAGATGGCACTTCGAACGACAGGAAGCAGATTGAAGTAAATGAGGGAAATACCTCTTTGCGCGGCAGTTCCACAACTGAGGTAATCTAGTACAGTAAACTTTCTTTAGTTCGACCTCGGTTAATTTGACTTTCCGTTTAATTCAATCGTGTTCAAAAGTCCCGGCAAGCACCCATACATTTCTATGGGAGGAAAAGTTTGGTAGTTCGAACTCGGGAAGACTCCGCATCAGATAATTCGTCCCGAGCAAATGCGCGCGGGCTCACATTGTACGGCACCACAGCAGAAAAACCACCAATGAACGGCGGAACACGGGCCCTTTGCTGCAAAGCCAAACGAGCGCAAATATGCGCCTGCTCCTCTACGCCGTTGAAATGGACCTTAGCGAATGACACGAGCCAGTGCAACCAATCTGGCGTGGAGTAGCGCGGAGAACATAGTACATAGTCGGGCACACACGAGCCAGCGCGCGCTCTCAAAGCGTTTTTCTGTAGCATCGTGTGCGCCCCATTTTGCGCACCGGAAAACGTAAGATCTCTTTTCCTTTTTTCTTTTTTTTTTTTGTCGTTGACGGACGGTCTGCCTGCTTGGCGCCAAAGTCAGCTCAAAGCTTTCTCAGCGCACGCTCTCAAAGCGCTTCTCTGTAGCATTGTGTGCAGTCCCCATCTTGCGCGTCGGAAAATGCGCATTCTCTTTCTTCTTTTTTTTTTTTTTGTAGCACGCAATTTTTTGTGAACCTGATGTTTAGACACGTTGCTGCTCTCGGAAGCATGCTTTTGGAGACGCGTTTTAAGAGCAGGCGGCACTGGACCATCCACGAGTACTTTGGACAATAAAAGGAAGTTTAATTTTAACCATTTTTCTGTCCATTTTTTAATTCAACCATTCAGATAATTCAACCAAATTTCAAGGTCTCGTCGAGGTTGAATTAACGAAAGTTTACTGTAGTGTTGGCCAGTACACTGCAGACAAACTAAGGGAGTGGAAGAACAACATTCATGCTTTCGCATTCACAACTCATAAGAAGTGCTTAGGTGTCATCGGAATTTTGTTTTTATTGTGTAGGCTTCCAACGATTCCCTGGCAGTTTTGACTGTAACCCCTTCAACGATCATGATGGTTTTGAAGTTTGGATGACACTTGCTGACCACACGGTGCAGAGGTAGGTGTCCCTTTGACGTAGACTGAAGTGACCAGTCATGTTCTCCTGTACCCTATGCAACATTGTCAGCATGAGCATGACTTCGGCACTAATTCTCATTTGACTTCCAGAGTTTATCAACAGGCGTCAAATTTTAGCACTTAGGTTAATGGCCTAGATCAGCAATTTTAGTCATATTGCCATATTCACTCGCATAATAAACACCCTTTATTTTTCCGGAGAATTGATGCATATCTGGGGGGTTCATTAAAGGAGCTGTGCAACAATTTCAGGGCTTTGCTTAAATTATTGTGGAAGTTGATGCCTGACACTTCTGAAGTGAACTACAGAAAACAGATTTTGCCTGGATACCCTAGTTTTTATTTAAAAAAATAAAAAAGATCCAGGTTTTAGCTGCCTCTCAACTCGTACGTCGTCTTCCGGGTCACATGTGCGGTGACGTTGATGGGGTAGGCGTGGGGTTCTGGAAAACTTCTCTCTTAAGAGCCATCAGTGAGCAGCGAGAACTCATCCGCTCGCGACCGCGTGACCACGTGCTGGCGGGCGCCACGTGAACAATATGGTGAAAGGAGGAAAGTTTCATCCGGGTCCGGCCATAGCCCATCCGGCCCTGTCACCCTCCCTCTATGGCTTCTGGCGGCTGTTCGCAATAGCAGAGAGAGCTGACGGTTTTGTGGACCTAGGATAAATGGCACCACTAAAACTTCGTATAATAAAAGTTTTGTCGATAATATCAGGTTTTTGACGCATTTACCGTAATATCCCGAGTCATCGCCCACCCCCCTACCGCCTGAAATTCATTAAAAAAGTGGGGTGGGCCATGTCTCGGTGGGTGAGCACAAACACCTGAAAAAAGCGGAAAAAACCGCCTATTTTTCTCTGCTTATCTAGCGCTGATGCACAAGAGATACATCAAACTCAAAACTCGATTTAGTTTCATTGTTTTATAGAAAAAAATGCTCACGAAAGAATATTTTACTATAGCGAAGTCCGTTGCTTGCATACACGCTAGAAACACCGCCGATCTGCATATAGCGCGAACGTTTGTTCCGTGAAAGAATGTCACCACTATGTTCTCCTAGTTAGTACAAAAAGAAAGAAAAGTCTACAAGAAAATAGAAAAACCGACCAGGCGCAACGAGCGAGCGAGCGAGCGGACCAAAGAAGCGACCAAGACCAATGCTGGAAAAGCGGGAAAGCCGGCGGTCGCGTTGGCAAATACTTTGGTGTCGGGCCAAGTCGGGCACCTTGTCAATTGCAAGCTCTTGCGCAACTTTCTTGTTTGGTGCGTACATACGTGCGTCCGTTCAAGGCGGGCTATCAATGCACGGTTGGGACGCTCTGCAAACGTCTGTGTAGGGCGTTCCAGCAAAGTTTTATTCACGCGTTGGCTTTGCCTAAAATATTGCACAACCGCGGTCGCGACGGGCGGGAAGAAGGAGCGGGTTCACGGTGACCTTACTTCGGCGGAGACAGACTTTGACCTAAAACTCTGCGGTTACATTAACAAACTCTAATTTTGTTATCTCCATTGTTTTCTTTTTGCACGGATACACGACCACTTTGGGGTCGCTCACGGAGGAAATGCGTAAACAAAAAGAAGTGTCTTTCCCTCCTTCATTTTACTTTGTCACGGACGCCCTCCAACTGTAAGGTCCGCGGCCGCGTCATTCGGGTAGGATGAGTGTTCGCGGATCGCAGAGTCCGCGCTGGGGTATTTGAAGGGGTGGGCGATGACTCGGTGTTTTTTCAGAAATTGATATTGGCCCAAAAAATGGGGTGGGCGATGGCTCGGGGATGGGCGATGACTCGGGATATTACGGTATATATATGTTGGAACGACAAGGTTTATAAAAAAGTTACCTTTTATCGAGCAGGTATTTGCAAAACTTGCTTTCTTTCTACAAGATTCCCCATTGATGTCACGCCGCGTGTTTCTCATGACCGCCGCTCGCGGCTGCAGGTCAGGTAATATTCTAAGTTTTGCCTAGCTATTACGCGGCGGAATCGCAACATTTCGATGAAAGGAGGAGTGTTTTCTGTCATTTATGACAAGGTGAACAATATCAAACGCAGAAGATGCCAATTCTTTCAATGTTAAGATCGTTGCACAGTTCCTTTAAGCGGGGTAAAATTCAGTGCAAATTTACAGATTTTGCGTAAATGTCAATTTAATTGCCCATCTAGGGGGCATTACTATGGCATAAATCCACTGACGGAGGCGTACCCACGGCTAGTCGTGGGTGCACCACAGCAACCATACTCTACAAATTGCTAACATTTTTAAAAGTACCTTCGGCGTTCCTTGAAAAAATAAAAAAAAAAAATAAAGTGCCCATGAATTTCACTTGCTACAGAAAGTGACGTCTAAGCACTTTCATGATTTCACTTTCTGAAGGTGAACAACAGACGATGGCATGTTTGTTGACACCAATGCGTCCGATAGAAAAAATGTCTCCGGGGGCTGGGCAACTCCTCAACCCCAGCTTTGTTGGCTGCCCCATAACGTGTTGAAAATATTTTATATCAATGTAACTATTTTGCATACGGTTATCAAATTTAGTGTAAGGGTGTATAATTAGTTTCTAAGACCGAAAACCCTAAATTTGAAAAATAAATTTTTTAAAAACAGTTTTAAATTTTTAGGTTTAGTATGTCATCCTTTAAAAAAAAAGTGCATATAGTAAATTTTCCACCGAGAGAGTTTGCTTACCAGTAACGGATGTGGACCAGTGTTGTAGATGGCACTTTGTGTCTGCAATGAAGCGTGGCACCGAAGAATAAATTGGAGAAAATAACAAAACACGAAATCGTCAACAAGCTTCATCTGTTGCTAGAACGAAATCAAGCTAGGAGTTGGCAGTGCAAGATCCTTGTGTGGATTCTCCCCAACTGGTTAAGTGACAAAGTAAAGATTTGACAATGTGACTTACACGAGTGGGGCTCTTGCACAAACAGACAGCTAGGTAAAAGATTTGGTAGTAAATTTTTTCTTCAGATATCCGAGTGAAATGTACGTGCGCATTTGAATTCGGGCACGGCGGAATCATACTTGTACGGTACATAATCCCCGAAGCCTGTTTTCTTGCGCGTTTCACATTACGAGAATGCTGTCCTAGAAGCTGAAACTCGGCGTCCCAAACGCTGCTCCACGGGCAACTGCTCACCAGTGAGAAGAGGCTGAGGTAGTGGGTGATGATGTCCTTGACCCTCCGCAGAAGGTAGGGGTCCAGCCTTATCCGAAACGACAGCAGGCCGTCCAGGAACTGCACAAAGAGTCGTCGATCAGTGCATACAATGACAGCATGCAAAATGGCAATGAGACCTAACACCGATTCAATTATAGTCATCGAAAGAATGAGAACGGTGGGGCATGTCTTTGGAACACCCTTCCTCCAGCATGCGCTCCATGCCTAATGCTGTGCTTTGGCTGCGTGCACGCTCGAGGTGCTCGAGATGTTGAAGCGTTGCCGACAGTAGGAAACTCGCGCAGGAGGCAGGACGACTAAAACTCCTCTCTTCCGTTCCCACTTTGTCAGTGACTAGACAACGGAAAGGGAATTGTATCCCGATAAAAGGTGGCACCTGTCGTATCTTAAAATTTGAGTATGTCTGCTATAGCAGTCATTAAATGAGCACTCTTAGGGTCTGCAAAACCCTTGCTTGTCAGCCAAGCAACAAAAACTTTTTTTGACATTCGCGGAAGAAATATTTCTAGTGTTGCGCGAATATTCAAATTTTCGAATAGTGAATTTGAGTAATACGCTAGTCGATATTCGCTGCGAGATAACTCCGATATTCATATTTTTCGAAGTGCTGATAGCGGCGGGTTAACCCTGTTGAGTGCACTTTTTACTGAGCACTGGTGCACAGCGGAGAAGCAACACCCGCAGACTTCGCTTCTGCGAACGTTGCTTCACCACAGTGCACCGCCGCTTGGTAAGAAGCACGCTGAATGAGGCTAAAGCTATCAACACTTCAAAAAGTATAAATACTGCTGTCACATTCTTGAGAGGAAAGCTCACTTTCAAAGCAGGATGGCGCATGTGCGCACGTGTTGTGTCAAAAGAAACTGAAACTTTGTGAATATTGATATCCAAGTGCAGCAAAACTTTCTGAATTAAACTGTGGTTATTATGTGAGAGTATATGTTAAGCAGAGATGTCCCTGACAACCTATGCTCATCACTCACAATTGTTTTGTTTTTTTTCTCAAATTCTAACCTTGATAAAAAATATCTGCATATAGAAAGACAATTTATAAATTCCCTCGATTAGATATAGCTGGGCACCTCTTTAGGTTTACTTTTATGTCAAATGCATCGTTTACTTGTCATTCCTAAGTACCGTAAAATCCCTAGAGATGCCCCGACCCCGAAAGATAGCCCACCCCTATTTTTGGCTTGATTTGCTATATTTTTTTAAACACCGAAAAATAGCCCACTTCTAGTAATAGTAGTGTTAGGATCAATGATGGCCCCGCATAAATACGGCTAGTTAGCTATGACAGGATATTGCCGCGCGTGCAGCTGGCCAAGTAGGCAGCACGACCGTGGCCTAACGGTTATCGTGCTTGCTTCCCACGCGAAGAGCCAGGGTTCGATTCCCGGGAGATACAAATCCTTTTTATTTATTCTTGCAGTTTAATGTCCTGGTGAGTTCGAGAACTCTGTTGCTTGTTCGAGGTGTGAATGCTCTAGTCGCCGAACCTTCTAGGTCGATTGTTCCAGAAGCCAAAGCGTGTACATAAGGGCCTCGTGTGACTATCTGCAGTCAGTCTCGCCCCAGCGCTCGACTCTGCTGTTACGCCGACTTCGACGTCCGCGGCACTCTGCTGTTATCTTTTGTTTCCTTTTTATTTTTGGGCACAAGCTCGCCACATTAAACGTTTATTTCTTCCTTTTTATTTATTGTTCTTTCGGCGACATTTTGGTGGAGGTGCGGGGTATTGCAGTCTAAGCCCGTAAACCATACCCATCCGAAGACACGCCGGTCAGGTGAAGGGCTCAGCCACGGGAGGCTACCCTTCGCAGAAGACTTCAACGCCCGAGCATGCCACCGTATTCAAGACCAACTCCCGGAATTAGGACCCCTGCCAAAGAAGCCAAAGAAGCGGACCGCAACGATGACTACACCACCCGTCGTCATCCTGCCCATCACTCCCCGCACTCCGACGCCCTTTCACGGTGAAGCTCACGAAGACGTAGAGGACTGGCTGCATCATAATGAACGTGTAGCCCGCCACAACGGATGGACGGATGAGCACCGCCTCCAGAACCTCTACTTCGCACTTGAGGGCACCGCGAGGCACTGGTTTGAGAACCACGAAGCCTTCTTTACTTCGTGGGAGCCATGCGCCGCCGAACTGAAGCGGACTTTCATCAACTACCATTGTCGGCAGCGAGCGGAGGACCTTCTTCAAACAAGGGTGCAGGGCCCCAACGAAAGAGTGACAATCTTTGTCGAAGATGTCCGGCGTCTAAGTGCCCGAGCCGATCCGGAGGCCGCCGATGAGAAGAAACTTTGCGCTCTCATGCGTGGCATGAAGGGTGAAATTTTCGGAGGATTGGTACGCAATCCCCCGACGACTGTCAATAATTTTGTAACCGAAGCCACCAATATCGAGCGCGCCCTGACAGCCTGAGAAAGCCACTACCACAAAATCGCCGGTGCGCCTGCTGCTCCAACTGTTGCTGCTTCCCTTCTGAACCTGAATACCAGCAGGGTCGACAGCCTTCGGGAGATCTTCCGTGAAGTCGTCCGGGAAGAACTTCGCAAGATACTCTCCGCTGCGGATCGCCCGTCCTCACTGTCGCTCGCTGAGGTTGTCCGAGAGGAAGTTCACTGGGCCTTCCAACCTGAGGTTCCAATCAACACGACGACGCCAGAGGAACCGACTTTGAGCTACACCGCCATGGCCCAATGACCGCCGCAAGCAAACCGCCAGGCCACGGCGCCACCCCGAAGGGAATTTGAAGCGAATAATGGTTTTGGCCGAATATTTTCTGATGTAATCTTGAAAATAACTTCTTTTACAACTATCAATATGGTTTCTCTAAGGGGTACTCATGTGAAGCAGAGCTGGTAGAATTCACCCATGATACTCATACTAATGGAAACAACCTTTCACAAAATGATGGTTTTTTCTTAGAATTCTCCAAAGCATTTGATCGCGTCCCACATTGTCGCCTAATATCAAAACTTTCCGGTCCTAGTTCAGATTCCTTAGCACTTTCACTGATCTGAACTTTTCAAAACCTCAGACAGCAATTTACTGTGATTAATGACTTTTAATCTACCACCATTGATGTAAGCTCCAGAGTTCCACAGGGTACAGTTCTTACCTTCTTCTCTTCCCTTTTTATAACAATCTCCCAACCAGTATATCACCTCCCATGCAACTTTTTGCTAACGATTGTGTGTTATACAGGAAAGTGAACAGCTCTAATGAACGTGAAATCCTTCACAGTGATATTAATTAGGTTTTTGACGGGTGCACTAAATGGCAAATGCAACTAAACTTCTCTAAGTGTAACTTGCTTTCATTTGCCAGAAAACACTCCATTTCAACATTTTCATACTTGTCAAATAATGTCCCTCTCGCCTCTGTTTCCTCACGCAAATACATCAGCATATATCATAACCTCCAACCTGTCCTGGGTTACTCATATTAACATTATCACCGCTGAATCATCACATACACACGGTTAGTTAAAATGAAACTTAAAAGTCGCACTCGCACATCTACGTCAACTAGCTTACACTACTTAGAGGGGCACTCGCACCCCAAAGGTCGTATTCTTTTTAATTGTCTAAAACAATGTAAGTTATAGTCATAGACACACAAAAAAAAATTTCCCCGCGCGTGCGCACTCCTTTTTATTTTTGGCGTTTATATTTCCCGCGCTCACCTCCTTGCTCCTTTTGATCGGTGACGTCAAAAATCAGGAAATTTAGAAGCTTTGTAGGCTACATTTCTATAACATTTAATAACGGCAATCGTAAAACATGTTTTTTAAAGCAATAGCAAACACACTACAGCCCCTTTTTTTGAAATACCAAAAATCAAATTTCGGTGTGATGTCGCTTCCTGGATTTGTATCCTCCCTCGGAAAACTTGGCTGCGCTCGAGCAGAGGATTATCGGCGAGTCGGGGAAGAAACTGGTTTTTTCCCGTGCCGGCGCCCTTCTATCCCGCCTGCTCACCTCCTCCTCGCTTCGGGTCGCAGTGGCAACGGAGCGGAGGTCCGAAAGAAAGTCGAGTCGCAGGAGACTGCAAAATTTGACTCACTGCACTGGCACGGATCGCGCGGGAACTTCGAATTCGGCATTTGGAAATTGTTTTTTTAATTCAGAAATACTGAATTCCCAAGTTTCGAATTTTGAGGGTGATGTCCCGGCATCGTTTTCAATCGTTTCGGATAATTAAAAAAAATATGATTTTGATGTGTCAGTCCCCCTTTAGGTCCGCCAGAAATTTGAATCTGGGCCCGTTTGCTCGAAGCACTAACCGCGGCTAAAGTTAGCCGCAGTACCTACCGTATTTATTCGAATATAGGTCCACCTTTTTTTTTTCGGAAATGTTGTCAAAAATTAAGGGTCGACCTATAATCGTGACCAAAGAATTTCGACCTAATTCGCAACCAAAATTTGAAACCCTACCGAGGGTATGGAGCTATCCATCACCTAGTCGGCGTCGCGGTAGAGCCGCGCGGCTTCTTGTTTCAAAAAGCTTTTGATGCACAAAAACAACCGAACAGCAGCAGCCGACAGCCCGTGTCCGCTACGGCTCTCGTGCACATTTCTCGGGCGTCGAGTTTCGCCATCACGCCTGTAGGGTTCCCCTCGCTGGGCAAGGGGGAAGGGGAGGGAGAGGAACGCGATGCGCCATGCACTTTGCCCTCCTATGCGCTCCATTCCTCTCTCCCTCGCAAACGCGCAAACAAACAAACAAAAAAAACACACACAAAAAAAAAAAAACGGAGCTACAGTAAAACCTCGTTATAACAAAGTTGAAGGAGCGGTCGTAGTTATTTCGTTATAACCATTAGTTTGTTATAGCCAATGTCCATTTCTCCATACTATTAGCAAGCAAGGGGAATTATGATTGCTTCGTTATATCCATTAGTTTGTTATATCCCATTTTGTTATAACGAGGTTTTACTGTACTTTATTTTGTTTTTTTCGGCGGGTCGCGTGTTACTCACGGGGCTCGCAGCGTTGCTCATGTCTTTGTGTTTGATCTTTTGTCGCTCGCCCGTCTCCACCTTCTTTCGTTTCCTCTTGTCGTCATCCATTTTACAACGGTGTCAGTGAGGTATTGTTGCCGATTTGCGAGGATGTCTACCAAGCTGACGAAGCTTTTTTGACATCGCCCTGTGATTTAGCTGAGAGTGATGTAAATAAAGGTTTGTTTCTTTCGCCCTAACTTTCCCCTGTTCCTTAAAAAAAAAAAAAAAAAAAGAAAGGTCGACCTATATTTGAATTAATTTTTATTTATTCTCGGTGGGCTCAATAAATAGGGGTCGACCTATTTTCGTGGTCGACCTATTTTCGGGTAAATACGGTAGGAGAGGGATTTTTTTAAATCACGTGACTGGCTCGATAGGGATGCGGGGAAACATGGCGGTGTCCCAGTGAGTGAGCGCCGCTCGCTTTGGAATAAATATGTCGTTGTAGCTGCAATATCGTGCGCGTTAGTCAGCAACGAATGGTGCAGGAGGCTTTCGCTTTGCTTTACCTCACTTAAACCGCAAAGCATGGGCAATGACATCGCCGCATTGTTTAGATAGTCTTTCGATTTTGGGCATACCTAAGCCTAAATGAACGCGATAATTGTCGGCATGACAACGTCTTTGGAAAGCGGATTGTTGATAGCACACAAAAGCAGACAGCGTCCCAACCGACCTTTTTTCTAAATTATCCAAGCACCGAGGTGCATGCTACGACCAACGAGCTCGTTGGCTACGACTGTAGTTGCACGCGTCGCACGTGCTGGCGTCTGCAGTAGTAACCGTTCTAAAGCAAAAAGTATAAAACAAATTTTGCCTTGCACGCGCGTTCGTTAAAGCCTTGTTATGATTTTTTACTTTGAATCTTTTATAAAAGGAAGGCCAGCGCGCGTGGACCGTAGAATGACACTTCCAGCGTTCTCCTCGCGATGCTTGGATAATTTAGAAGAAAGTCTGTTGGAACGCTGTCTGCTTTTGTGTGCTATCAATACCCGGCCGATTGAGTCAAGGCAATCCGCTTTCCAAAGACGTTGCCATGCCGACAATTATCGCGTTCATTTAGGCTTAGGAATGCCCAGAATCGAAACACTATCTGAAAAATGCGCCGATGTGATTGCCCATGCTGTGCGGTTTAATTGAGGTAAGGCAAAGCGAAAGCCTCCAACACTATTCGTTGCTGACTAACGCGCTCGATATTGCAGCTACAACGACATATTATTTCCAAAGCGAGCGGCGCTCACTCGCTGGTGCGCCGCCATGTTTCCCCGCATCCCTACCAAGCCTAGTCACGTGATTTCAAAATCCCTCTCCTAGGTACTGCGGCTAACTTTAGCCGCGGTTAGTGCTTCGAGCAAACGGGCCCAGAAGTACCTAATTAACCATTTAAAATCCATTCAAAACCGTGCCACTCGATTCATATCATCTTCGTACTTTAGACATGTAAGTGCCTCTCTCATTAAGCAAAATTATACTATTCATCCTCTAAGGACCCGTCGACCAATTTCACTTCTTCGTCTACTTCATCGGTTACATTACAATCCAGTTCAATCCGGCACATCACTTTTAGAAGAATCTATCTCATCAACAAAATAACAGCAAAAGTTTCAAAGACATTTTTGGCTCAACATCTGCTTTTAATAACTCAGCCCTTCCTCTTGCCTTCAAACACTGAAATGTTCTTCCTGAAACTGCTGTCATCATATCAGATCCCAAAACATTCTGTAGTGCTCTTTGTAATCACTTTTTGCCACCATGCACACCGTCTATTTTATATCCTTCAAGTTGCTATTAATTTTGTCATGTCTTGTTGTGACTCAGTGGTTGAGATCCACGTGCTTCGCTGATTAGGCGTATAAAAATTTATAAAACAATAAAACTAATTCGAGTTTTGAGTTCACTGTCTTTCTAGTGCAGCCGTGCTGCAGTCTAAATGTCCGCGGTCTAAATGTGCGCAGAAAAATTGGCATTTTTTTTAGCTTTTCCTGAACTTTTTGTGCTTACCCAGTGACACAAGGTCCACCCTACTTTTTTCATAAATTTCAGGTGGCAGGGAAGCGGGAGATGAGTCGGGATATTACGGTATATGAATACAGATTTTATGGTAATATAATTACATGCTAATTACTAATTACAAGTCCCTTTATTGCTTCAAAAGCTGATGTACCAGGAGAAGGTGGGGATGCTTATGCAATCGACGAGGCAGTCTCTGCCAGCAAGGCCGCACAGTTTTCACCTGGGGAAGCTGGTGTTTGAGGGCCATCAGATGAGCTTGGGACAGGGGCTTCTTGGCATGGACAACACTCGGCACCACCAAGCAGTCCAGCAGCTGTGGAAGCAAGCAGCCCGACAGACCCTGCGAGGGAACAAGGCCGGAACGGGGATATCCAAAAGAGGAAGTTCAAAGGCATCCATCTAGAGGAGATGCAAGAACAAGATGCACTGCTCTTGCCAGCTCAGATGTTGACAAACATTGCCCCGACACGCATTCATGTAATCGCTGCGGCATCATGTCCGACAAAAGCCCCAAATTAGCTGCTGTACTTCACTGGCCAAGTTGCGCCTTACCAAAGAGACAGAAGTTATCAAATTTCAAGGTGAGCTAACTTTCCACGATATGAAGATCTAGACAAATTCAATTCTAAAGACGAGAACATAGAAGACGACACAGGCAAATATGTATATGTAATATGGGTCATCCGAGTTGTCTTCTATGTTGTCATTTTTTAATAGTAACACATACCAAAATGTGTTTAAACTACCAAGAAATTCAAAATTACAGTCAAACTAAAACGTCCAGAAACAATTTGAACTCGATTTAAATATTAAAACTTGATTCACAAAGTCAATTTCAATATGTTCTTGCATTTGCACTCCAAGTACAAAAATTAAAATGAAATATTATATCATGTCGTAACAACTGCACCCAATTTTCTAAACTTGTCACTCCACACCATCTGAATGGATAGCCTGAGAAACCCCAGAAGAAAAACCAGTGCTTCGATAATTGTGAATGTAACTGACAATGACGTCAGTGAGAGCCTAAAAAGACATGGTTACTTCATCCACTGCTTCCGACGTTGAGCACATGCACCCTCAACAGATCCAATTGCAGACGTGCCTCTACATGACCACGACTCACCTTTGTGTACAGTAAAGTCGAGCAATGCTTGAAGAGTTGACCGCAAATCGCATAAACATTCTGCAGTGCAGCACTAGTTGCCGAGCTGCTCTTCAGCACTCCTGCCACGGTCACCACAAAGTCTTGCAGATAGAGTGCTAGCGTCTGCTGCAATCGAGTTGTACCCGCTGTGTCACCAACGTCGGAGAGGATGTCGCTGGCCTCTGCCACGCTTGTGAAGAGACGAGTCACAAAGACGTCGTGGCTTTCACCTCCGTCCGGTCGTGTCAAGGTTCCTAGGAGGAGCTCGTTCAGTTCCTTCAGTTCCAGCACCATCCTGAAAACACATGGCAGAAACATTGATCTTAGCCTCTGGAGGTGCTTGGACATCTGCCAGCATAGCAGAGAGCAGTAAAGCACCATAGGACCTGGTGAAGTGTATTCAAGAGAAATACCTTGAAACAAAGTAATTGTAATGTGTGTACGTTTATGCAGGGCAGTAAGTTATTGAACCTCAATGGGTCCCTGGTGTCTCTGCTGTAAATGAGACACTTTGCACTGTACTACCATTACTAGCCTGGGGTCTCTAACACGCATCATGCGGTAGTGACACGCGACTGCACGCCAGTATAATGCTCATCCAGATCGAAACGGACAGGGGTGGGGACTAAACCCAGGGTCCCCGAGTTCTGCGGCGGCAGCTTTGGTCCCTCAAACATCAGTAGTTGAGAAGCACTGCTCTAAACAAAAGCAACACTGTCACTTTATGGTTTTTCGAGGGGATTGATGGTTCCGTAGCTCGGAGCACATGGAGCGAACTTCTGGTTCGACGGACGTGATGGGGGACCCCATCCACCAATGCGGGGGAGGGTATTGGACGATTATTATGACGAAGGGTGAATAAAAAGACGAAATTCATGCAAACCAGCTTTGAAGCTCTGAAACAGAGTAATCAACCCTACCCACTCAGGACATTGGTCTATTTAGCTTTGTGGGACAGCCAGCATCAATAATTAACGAAATTTTATTGCTTGGCTTGACTGATGGTTGGGGCCTTCGGGGTCCACATAAAGGCCTTCAGGAACCTTAAAGGGTCTGCGGACCCCGATTCGAGAAACATTGGTCCAGAGAAATGCTTTTGGAAGAAAATTGTATATTGTAAAGTTCATGCAATAGAACAGTTCGGAGGCTCACAAACATTGCTTATGGGAATGCCACACAGCAGGGGCAGAAGTAGGATTGTTTAGCCATGCATCAATGCTTATTTTAGCTGCACTTAAATGTAAACTAGAAAGGTAAGGGTAATACAAGACCTTTGTGTGCTTGTGAAACAGCCCCCATAACCCCAAGAGCCCCAGGGTTCTAGGAACCCAGTTAGTAGTAAGTGCATGTGCTAAATCCCACATTCTGATTGTACTGACGCCCATCCCGTAAGCCTTTCAGGAAAGCCCTTTTAGGCTGCTTTTGTTAACCAAAGAAGCTGGCATTTTTTAAAGCGGTAGCTTTATAGGCCCAACCACGCTCAAGGTCATTTCCTCGTCCTCAAGGTCACGTAACGCATGTGGCTGAAGTACAAGGTCGCCTAATCAAGGTCACATAAGCACCGGTTGTGTAAGCTCCGTTTACATAAGCTTGTAAGTTTCAGTAGCTGAGGCTGACATGACCTGACGTCCTTGACGTCATGCTAAAGGCCGTCCTAGAAGTCATCCTAGAGGTTCTCCTTGAGGTCGTCCTCTAGGACATCATCCTCAAAGTCGTCCTAAACGCCGTCCTCGACGTTATCCTATACGGTGTCCTTGAGGTCGTCCTAGACGTCAATCTTGAGACCATCCCAGAGGTCGTCCTAGATGTTATCCTCGACACCATCCTTGACGTCGTCCTCGATGTGTGTAGCATATTACAACCATTTCATTAGCATACCATTTCCTTTCCTAATTGTTTTTCACTAAAGGTGCTCCTGTAAAGCCACCACATTTCATCACGTTTGGTCGAATGAGCGTGCCTGTAATTTTTTCATAAAGCTGTTTGCAGTGTTAGTCGATGTCATATGGTAGCAGCCATAAAGTAAAGTCCAAAATTATTTCTTGCTTTCTTATTATAAACTTGGGGGAGCGGAACTTCTGAGCCAGATTTAATGATTGTGCCTTACAACATGGGTTCTGAAACTGGGTTCTTGGGAACCTAGAAGTTCTCTGAAGTAGCCCTAGGGATTCCTCTTGAGCACCCAGATTCTCTTGGTCTTTACTCCTAGTATATGGCCAAAAAGTGTTTGTGCAGTTCAAGCACAACTTAAACGTAACAAAGCCATACATGGACGCAAGACCGTGTACCGTTTCCTCCCACTATTCTTCCTGCTACGTCTGTTAATAATAGAAATGCCGAGGACTTTTTTAAACCAAGTTCTAAGAGCAAATCTAGGTGCCCAAAAGAGTTCAAATCGTTTCATACTTTCAGACTTTTTACATTACAAAGTTTGACAATTTTCTAATGTTCTCAATTTTCACACCGAGAAATTAGATTATTTTCAAAACTTTCGAATTAATCGCGATAAGAAATTTTACATTTTTCAAACTTTCTAACTCATTATGCTACGAATTTTGACGATTTTCATACCTTGGAATCTGCAAAGTTCAAAAGCTTGACAAACTTAGAACTTCCAAACAAAAGTTTGAAAAAGTTCAAACCAACTTTACCCTTAAGGTTTAGACTGTGGAGTAGAATGGAGATTGCACAGAAGCTTCGCTTAGCCGATCTTAGGTGGTACCGCCGGCTTGCTTCAGAGTGGCCTCGGCACCTCGGACTCGTGTCCCGTACCCGAGGTATTTCCCTCTGGCTTTTGCACAGGGGCTCTTCCGTATAGAACACCATAAGTTGCCTTGGGGTAAAATGTTTGCCAAGAGATCCCTAGTCTGCAGGTTTGAAATGCAACAGTGGTGCTTCTCTGGGGCGTCGTTCATAAACTTAGTTGTTTCTGAACATAAGTATACCAATTTCCTCATGCAAGCGGCATTTCAAAGAAAGGCAGACACAAAGAATGGCGCCGATGCACGATGATAAACTCTGTATCAGTGCTTTCTTTTTTCAGTATCATTTGTTAAATGAAAATTGAGTAGTCAGCTCCATTAAGAGTGGCTAACATCGTGCATTCATCGAATTGAGAGAAGTCGGCAATGTGGAAAGCTTGATGCATGATCGGTCATGGCGTGATCAGCTGTATTTTCGAAGGACAAGGGGGGAGGGGGTTTTGAGTTTAGTTTGGCTCCTTGCTCCTCAACCTTGAACTGTTGGGTGCTGTGCCTGTGTCCTTGTGTATACAGTGTTTTTTCCATACAGTGGGATATCCCATTGAAAACAAATGCCAGGGCCGACACAGAGCCGAAGTCACTGTAGCGCTGCACTGTTTCTTGTTCCTAAAGCTTTTGGTGCATGAAAGCAACCAAAACAGCAGCAGCCGGCAGCCTGCCGTGGCCACCGCTCGTGCACGCGCGCATCCCTCGTGCGTCAGGTTTAGCCACACGACAAGGGACATGCCATGCACCTTGCCCCACTGTCTTGCCTCCTCCACTCCCCTCCTCCCCTCTCTCCCTCGCGGACGTGCAGCAAAACAAAATACGGAGGTTACTTTCGCTCCTTGTTGCTCACAACAGCTCGAACGGCTTGCTGCTTTGCTTGCGTCTTTGTATGTGATATTTCGTCGCTGCCTCCCCTTCTTTCATTTCTTGTTGTCGCAGTTTTGCACCGGTGTCAGTGAAGTTTTGTTGCAAATTTGTGAGGATGTTGATGAAGCTGACGAATCTTCCAATGACGATGACATGTTTGGAAGTTCTGAGATTATTAAGGTTTTGGCACCACGCTCTGATTTAGCTAAGAGTGCTGTAAATAAAGGTTTGTTTCTTTCCTTTGCCCCAACCCTCTTCTGTCGTTTAAGAAAAAGAACATAAAAAGTCTACCTATATTCAAATTTTTTTTTTTTATTCTCGGTGAGTTTAATATAAAGGCATTGACCTATCTTATTGGTCGACTTATATTCGAGTAAATACAGTAGTACTGGTTGTACTCTAGGTACGACATACACAATATTATCAAGAAGGAGTCTTTACAATATAAAAAAATGTGCTATGTTTTTAGTTAAATTTGTTGCAGGAGTTTTTTCTAAATGAATCCGTGAAATCTTTATATCAAACCATAGAATTCAATCTCCGTCCACAAGATTAAAAAAGTTCAAACCTAAATTCGAAACCTTGAAAGTTTTTTAACTTGTTCCTCCAAGAAATTCCAAAGCTTCAAATTTTTCTTTCTTGATTCTCAATGAAATTCGAAATCTTCAAAAAAAAATTTCAATCTTGAATTGTAAATAAGTGTTCGATTCTCAAACCCAAACTTTTAGAAACCTTGATGTCTAACTTTCCGGATTCGAACCTCGGCAGGAATCAGAAGTTGCCAACTTTCTAAATTCGAATCTTAAGCACGTTCAAAATTTTCTAAATCTTTCAAACTCAAGAGATTGAAAGGTTAATAACAATTATTATTAACAAGACTGGCCAGCTCGAGAGCAGTTTCATTGCGAAACAAAGTGAGGGGGGAAGTTCGGAAGAGATGGCAGCTTCAATGAAAGAATGAGGAAATGCAACCAGACCCGGACAGCCTCGTCATCTGGTCGCAAGGCGGAACAATGGCGACGCAGCAGCGTAGCCACGACTGCACGAGTCGAGTCTCCAGGTTGGGAATCCGCCTCGCAAGTTCCTCCCGGGCATCGGACTCCGACAGGACAAGGCACAGGAAGCGGCAGGACGCCCTGGGGAGGGGTGTGCAAGCTGAGTAAAAGTGCTACCGGGAGACTTAAAAAGAATTCAAAGTCCTTAGAAGAAAAAAAAAAGAAACGATACAGTTCCAAATTTTAGTTCTTTTAAGTTTCAGAACTTGTCTGTTTGCTGCCCAAGACCGTGATGCCTCCCGGCAACACGGCATTGGGCAGCAAGTTTGTTGTATTTCCTGCTAACATTCAGGAACCTCACTTTCTGGACACTTATGCCACAAATCTCTACGACTTCTGTAAATTTTTTGTTTCAATTAATCCACCCTGTCGTAAGATTATTTTTACAAAAACCTAACTCAAATAGACCCCTTTCAAAAAATCTGGCAACAGCAAAAATCCGCTGAACGAGTCTAACAACATTGGGCGGCCGGCGCCATTGGGAAGGACCCTGTTGCGGCCGGCATGGTTGTTTTGACTGTAGCGTTCTGGTTTCGTCGATCCCTTCGCCTCTGTATGGCTGCAGGTAGCGTTTTCCCGATCACGGGTTGGGTGAACGACCTTTCCCAGCTCCCAGCCGTTAAAGATGATGAGGTATATCTAGGCTATCGCGTTTTCGGTTTTTATTTTTTCAAAATTCAGCATACTTTTTTCGGTGTTTATTTTAAAATTCAATTTTCGTTTTTTTTCGGTGAAAATTTATTCCCAAAAAAACTTTACCGTTTTTTTTTTTTCGGTGAATATAAAAGACACACCATCGGACACCGGATCAAATGATCCTTGTAGCTGTGATATTTGTGATCACTCAAAGAATAACGGCACATATTGGGCAGGAGATCGAACTATAGGGGGCGTTTTATCGAGCTTGTTGTCCCCACAGCCTGGTGTTTACTCACATAACATAACAAAGAAATTGAACCTCGCCTAGCATGGCCTGGGCACGAGCGCTTCGTTTTGACCAGTGCTTTAGTCGCACGAGGAGCGGCCTTCGAATCGTCATCTTCGATTTCTCAGATCAAAAATAAACAAGAAAATACGGTTTGTTGTCCCCACAGCTGAAGCGTACCGCTAGAGGCATGACTGTTTGATCTCCTCCCCAATACATACGTGGTCTTCGCTACAACTTCCGTCAGGACACACCTCAAAATCGTTCGAGGGCATAATCTTCAGCGCGCTTCTTTTTCCTTCCCATTCTGACGACGTGACCGTCTGAGGTGATGACCGTACAAGATTCAGCGGAATGTCAAAAAAAAAATCCACTGTATTTATGTTTTTAACCACAGGGAAGTTTGAGAGTGGGTGGTAAGGAATGTATTAACGGCTTTCCTCGATGTCCTCTGAAGTGCATGAAGCGAAAAACCTTATGCTAGCCCACATTCGAACTTTCTTTTTAGGACCGGGAACTTGACACACTAAGCCCGATCACAGAAAGGACACAGGTGTCCCGCGAAGGCCAATCCAAGAGCTTTTTTGTTGCATGATGAACCTTGGAAGAGGGCAATCACGAAGACGTCACTCAATGTCAAACCTTGCAAAGCCCTCTCCCCCCCCCCCCCGCCCCCCCCCCCCCCGCGCCCCCTCCCCCACGGGGAGGGGGCGCGGGGGGGGGGGGCGCGTCAAGGGGGCGCGGCTCTTTTCAGGGCCGCGCCCCCTTGACGCGGCCCTGAAAAGCTTACCTTTTTCGGTTAAAACCAAATTTTAGGAAACGGATTAGACATACTCTTATCGGTTTTTACCGAAAACACCGAACCTACAACTGACCTTTTTCAGTTAAAACCGAATTTCCGAAAATAGATTCGGCGTACTTTTATCGGTTTTTATCGGTTTAAACCGAAAACTCCGAACCCTAGGTATATCGCTTCTTCAAAAGCCGATCGGACTCGGAACGACAATTCGACAGAAGTTACAACTTTCTCGCTGAGGGGTTCGTGGTCGCCGCATCTATAAAGGCCAACTACGCAAGAAAAAGGTAATTACTAAGATCTTTGTAGTTACGACATCAAACATGTCATCAAAAAATGATAGGAACCGGTTATAATTTACGGGCTGTAGTTAGAAGTCGCCAGTACTCTCCGGATGTGCGACAAAACAGGCGCAGGGGTCCCGCTTCGCTGTCACTCGGACAGTCGCGCGATGAAGCACACCGCATAAAAGCGACAAGCGAGCGACCAAGGCGATGAGCGTCGTTTTCTAGAAATCCCAAACCAAGCGACGCGACAAGCGACAGTGAAACATTTTCGTAGCTCGTAGCCAACTTTCGTCGCTTGTGCCGTCGCTTGACTCGTCGCTCGTCAAATCGCGTTTTTTTGCTTGGAATTAAGACCTAAAATTTCAATGCGCAAGTTAACAAGTAAAAGACGTATTCGACACAAGTTCCTACTTGATACGTCGAGTCCCTTTTTCTTGAGGAGGAGGATTTTAGAGTTGGGAAATGTAGAGCAGCAAATTTTGCAGTGAAGCAGAAGTTGCATAAAGCACGCGCTGCACAGATGTCTGCGCTACAGGCAGCTTAAAGCGTCAGGTCGTATGGCTTCATGCGTACCTAACATATAATTTACACGGGCAAGTTTGAAGCACCGCGAGCTCGTGCATACCTGAAGCTAGGCGCTCGCGAAGCTGTCACGTCCACAAGCGATACCACGAGCAACATTATATTTGTATTTGACGCCTTGATTTCTTCAAGCTAGCTGAAAGTTGAAAACTCTACCTCCAAACGCAACAAAGTGAGATTAAAAACACCTGACTCAAACACCCAAGAAAGCGTAGCGTGAAAACGGTTCGTGGTCCGTTTTTGCACTTCAGCAGGGAAACGTTTGCGCGGCTACGCCGCCGTCAACCGATAACGAGTACATTTCCGAATACGTACCTTATTGCCAGACTTGTCCAGATACCCACTCTGCTTACAGAGGGGTACGCTGCAGTACGTTGGCATCGTGGGCAGGAATCGACTAGCGTCTACGGCCAACGCAGCGTATGCAGCGGCGCGCACTATCCTGCAGCATGGCGGCTGCCACTAGTTGCTGTTGCGTACGACAGGTGGCGCTTTTTTCTCTGATGGGTCTATAGCATCGAAGATACCCAAATGGGGCCACGAAACAAACGTTCAGTCGTTATGTCGTGTTCATTATAAGTGGCCTTGACTGTACTTTGCATCAAGACAGACACATGCAAATTCCAGAGACAAGTGCACCAACCTGGGGTGCACCTGGGTGGAGCATCCAAAGTACTCGAACAAACTCGTGAAGTTGGCTCTGACTGGCATCGAAAGGTTAGAAGGCCTGCAGAGGAATCAAATGGAGCATATCAGTCGGCCTGTTGAAGTGCTGCCTACCAATACCGATCAGCAGGGTGGAGAATAAAAATGAAGATGATTTAAATCGTGATACAGTCGAGCCCTGTTATATCACACCCGGGTATTTCGAATTATTGCTTATATCAAACAGTCCAAACATCCCCTTGAAAATCACATGTAATTGCATAGGAGCATTGTCTTTTTGTATCGAACTTCCATGGATTCCCATGGCGGGGACACTCGATATAGCAAACGAAGCACGAAGCACGGCGGCCCTTTGCTTCTCCCACCGTCAGATTGCGCCCGCCCGCGGAGCACATAGCTCGCGTTGCCGGGCTGGCAAACCGCCAAGCCAGCATACGCGCACGGAAATACTCAACAAAAAGCAGTCGTAAAAAAAGAAAAAAAAAGTGGAGGATGGCAAAAACAAAGGGAAAGGCACGCGCGCAAGGGAAGGCAGGGAGTGCTCCTCAGCCCCAAAATAAAAGCAAAAAAAAAAAAAAAAAAGTCTTTGTCAAGTTGAGTGTGTCGAACACAACGGTTGAGCAATGGCACTTTAAACCCTTTGAACGCCTTATCTTCGTTTACCTTTTCCTTTCGCCGTTTTTGCTTTGCGCGTCTTTTCTTTCTTTTCTTTTTTTTGCTGCTTGAATTTAGTGGTTTCTTTTTTGTTGCTTGCTTAACTTTATTTTATGGATCGAGCGTTTTTTGTTTGTTTTTATGCAGCTCGCTTTTTCCGTTCTTTCATATTTTTTTTTAATCAGTGTTTTGTCGCCGGTGCTGTGCGAAGGTCGCGCGCGCGTAAACGATAGCAAACACCGTCGCGTAAACGCGGCGGTGTTTGTGATCTTAACCAACTAAGCTCTAATGTGTTTAGCGGATCTTAGTGGCTCTATTTAGTAAGGTCACGTTTGTCGCGGCCTTCGGTATTAGCAGAGACGCGCGGAAATTTCAACTCATATTTTTGTATATCAAATTATCGATATATCGAAGGGTGATTTCAGATAAGATCGACCAAAGGGTGGCTGGTCGACATTGTTAAATCAACTGATGTTTTTATATGACATTGTCTAGTGTCTGGTATAAACGAATCCACACTTAGTTTTGACCAGAAAAAAAATTTGGAGACAAGAAAAATCGTAAGGCAGGGAGAGGTGGACAGTTGCAATAACGCGCACTGATGGAGGGGGCAAGTTTGAAAGTGAATAATTAAAACAATAAAATTAGGAGAATTTTAAAACTTTTTACAAACAAACTATGGGTACAACTTGCTTGTAATATAAAATAATAATATTTATTAAAAATTTATTTAGTTTTCTAAAAATTGCCAAACATGCCTGCTCGAACGACAAATGGCAAACTTTGGAAATCTGTATCTCATGAAATAATTTAACCATTATTACATAACTTGCAGACATTATTTTACTAATATATGGCTATTATTGAAAAAATAAATAAGGTATCTGAGTGACACAATAGTTACAATATATTTAGGCAAACATGGGAAAAAAATCAAACAAAGAAAAATTCCAATGCGAATAAAAAAAAAACACCACCTTCGATTTTTTTTTAAATTTGGGTACCCTGTTATACTCTATTTCGGCATTCATTTCTATTAAAAACATGTTGCATCATTGCACTGTGAAAGAAGAAACAACTTCCCAAAGTAGGGTCCTTTTTCAAAGCCTACACTTAGCAGTGTCCTATACAAGAAGTGACTCTGAGTTCCAGTTTCATGAAACTTGCACAAATCTTTTATATACATTTATTCAGATGAGGTCATTGATAAAAAGAGCGATCGGTCACACAGTAAAAGGGAGGAGAAACTATATACAGCATTTTACATAAGCGTACAAAGTGGTATCATATTAGAGACTAATGATTTGAGAAAAGATGATGCAGTGTGAAGTTGTACCTTCCGGTATATTTTACATCTAGAGTAAAATAAATAACTTGACTTCCACACGCAAAAACAAAGATATAATAGTAAGATATTTAGGTTGGCTGTACGATTACAAACAATTTCAGGTGACGGATGCCATAGTGCCTAACTGGAGCAGCTTCGATGCTCGGTGTATGAATGAATCGTGGCAAGCCGATATATTTTATCCTGCTCGAGGATAACATTTTGGGATTTTTTTTATAGTGATCAGATAAAAATTGTTAGTAACCACCAACAAAAACAGTAGGTTAAACACCCCGTGAAGAAAAATGTGATAAATAAGATGTCCCTGCATTCAAAATGAGCAGTCCTTGGGAAATCAAATTCGGCACTTTACGCTAAGGTTTTCCTCGCTGTACCCATTTAATAAAGTTGCTTCCAAGCAGATCCGACTGTCCGTGCTACATATACGTCACAGGTCCCTTCTGTTGATGACTTGCTGAGCCGCCACGCGTGCCAAGACTGAATGCCAGGGAAGGCGCGCACCGTCAGCCACTCTTCTTTTTTTTGTTCACGATACCGAACAACCTCATTTTCGTCCAGATATACAAGATGCACGCCTTTCAGTTTCTTTGATAGAACGCTCACCATTGTCCTGGCCGTCTGAATTGCGCTTACTGAACGTTCTCTCAGGTTGTTCAGCGTGGCCTGGTGCTTCACGAGTCCGCCAACTCCGTCACATGCATTTTTCCCATGTCCAGATGCAGAAAATAACCACTGGGCTTGTGGGCAATCGTCCTTTGCAAATTGGTGAAGCTGGTAGCGATTCTTGAAATGACTGGCGGCGCCGTCACTTACGCAACGTTGTCTTCAACCCACTCCTTCACTTTTTCTAGAGCCAAGCAAGCGTGAGCGGCGTCGTGACACAGGTCCTCACCAGGGTTGTAAAGTACCTAGGTACAAGTAACTGTAAATTGGTATCTAGGTACTTTTGTTGTACCTGAGGTACAAACCTAGATACTTTCATTTCTCGGTATCTGTATCTGTATCTTAGGTACATTTTCCAGTAACTTGTAACTAAGTGAAGTTACTTTTTACAGGTACTTTTCTATTCACTTTGTCAAAATCGTAGAAAATACAATATAACATATAACTGAAAATAAATTATAATTACAGTCGTAAATCAATTTAACATTACGTAGTGTTTCCACTCAATAAATCGAACTAAAATTTTGCACTTCACAAAACTGAAAATGTTTGTGAAGAAAAAAAAATGGAAGGACGATTAACCTTCGCCTTTAAGAGTTGAACGCGATAGAGTTATCGGGCCCCGTTCGCATGGCCTTCTCAACCGCTTCTCATGCTCTTGAGTCACACAAGGACCTAGTCTTTATGATACAACACTCCTGGCGCGACCGAGGAGCTTTTGCCAGTGCTTTGATGCCATTTTACCCCACAAGGTTTATTTATGTGTTTGCTCGGCACGCGCTAACAACACTCGATGCGATAATGCCTTTACCCTGACACAGACAGACATCGAGGCACTCTAATGACGGCAGCATCACAGTGCCATTCCCAAGCCCTCCGTGCCTAGTCGGTAGCATGTCTGGCTCGCAACCAAAGGGTCGTGGGTGCGATCCTGCGTAAATTCTTCAAAGTTTTCTTTAAGGCAAATGAATTAGTTTATCAAGTGGGATCATTTGAAACATGCGGCGACCATTAATTTGTATGTCTTTAACCACCTTCATTCCACGCGTGATGTCACGTTTCACATGAGCGTTGTGGGTTGTTTGAAATTCCCACGCGAAGTCATGTGGCTGTGACGTCACGACCCTATTGACCATTGAGGATTTTCCCGTCACGCCACCGACATATTTTCTGTGACACGAGCTCCTAAACGCGCTCGCGTTAAAATATTCTCTTCCTTCCTAAAAACAAAAGAAAAAACGTGAAACATTGAAGACTTTCGCGCGTCGTTGCTTTGCGAAGGTTAGGTGCGTGTGCACTCGACTCTTCGTTTCTCCACGCGGCCAACGTCTTCAGGGCCCGCCGATGGCTTCGATGCCAGTGCTGGCGCTGAAGGGCAAGCCACGTCAGCAAGCGAGTTTGAGCGGGACGTCAAAAAAAAAAATTGGGTTGTGTGTGTGTTTATACAGCCTAGAACTTGGTCTGCCTCACAGGGGCGACGAGTCTCCCAGCTGTAGATGAGAAATTTAGCCAGTGCGGTACAGCCGCTAGCCTGGGGTCTTTAACGTGCATCACGCAGTAGTGATACACGACCGCACGCCGGTACGATGCTCATCCAGATCGAAACGGGCAGGGGTGGGGCAGCGGGACGTCGGAAACAGTGGAAGCTGTGTCCTCGGTGAGCCTATTGAAGCGTGAGAGTAAGGCACGTGCAGGACTCAACTCCGATGTGGACATCTGTGCAGCGCCGTCACGTGCCTCGCTCCAGTGACTTTATTAGCTCCCCGGGCCCTTCTGTTTTGCCATTTGCCAACTTCTACCGAGTTGGAGACTCCTCCGGTGGCTGTTTCTCGCCGACTGTACAGTACACCAAACTTGCTCCGGCAAGAAGTCTGGACTGTTTCAAGCACGTGCCGCTGCTTAAAAGCGTGTTCTTGAAATTCAACACAGGGCTTCCAAGCAGTGCGGCGGTGGAGCGCGTTTTTAGCATAGGAGGAACAATGGCTACCAAACTGCGATCGAAGATGTCGGATGAACATTTCGAAGAAGTCCAGATTCTGAGGTCGAATCGAGCACTCAAGTGAAAAAGACAAAGTCTTCGAACGCTCTGGTGAGAGCGTTTTGCCTTATTTCTCCCCTTGACACCAATGAGGCACGTTTATCAAACTTGTTTTTGTGTACATCCCAATATACAAAGGATTTAATTCCAATATTAATGTGACAAAGTTGAGAAAAATACTTGACGTGAAAATAAAAAGTACCTTTGAAGTAACTGTACCTGTACCTAGGTACATTTTTAAGCGAGTAGCTAGATACGCACCTAGGTACATTTTCGTATGAGTAACTGTAACTGTATCTTAGGTACATTTTTGAAGTAACTTTTACAACCCTGGTCCTCACTGATGATGGCAAAGCTG